CTGTGCAGCGACGCTCCCCATCCAACCTGATAGAGCTTAAGAGGATCTGCAGAAAAGAATGGGAGAAACTCCCCAAATACAAGTGTGTCAAGCTTGTAGCCTCATACCCAAGAAGACTCGAGGCTGTAATCGCTGCCAAAGGTGCTTCAACAAAGTACTGAGTAAAGGGTCTGAATACTTATGTAAATGTGATATTTCCATTTTTTATTTTTAATAAATTAGCAATCATTTCTAAAAACCTGTTTTTCCTTTGTCATTATGTGGTATTGTGTGTAGATTGATGAGGGAAAAAACTATTTCATCCATTTTAGAATAAGGCTGTAACGTAACAAAATGTGGAAAAAGTCAAGGGGTCTGAATACTTTGTGAATGCACTGTATATAAAAGAAAACATACATGACAAATCGTGGGACTCTTATTTTGAAATTGTAAATGCAGGACTTATTTTGACATGAAATTGACAGACTCTTATTTTGAAATCGGAAAATGACAATTTTATTTTGGCATGATAAATTAGTACTATGGTTTTGAAATTGGAAATTGCATTGCCTATTTTAATGACAAATCAAGGGTCTCTATTTTGAAATTTGAAATCTCAGCACTTATTTTTAGTTTTATTTTGAAATTGGAAATGCAGGACTTTTATTTTGACATGACAAAGCGAGGGACTCTTATTTTGAAATCATTAATGCAGGCAGGACTTTGATTTTGGCATGACCTATCGGGGAACTCTAATTTTGAAGTGTGTTACATCCAGCTCATAGTTACATCCTGCTGGATGCTGGATGTAACTGTGCTGGATGCTGTATGTAACTCTGAGCCGGATGCTGGATGTAACTGAGCTGGATGCTGGATGTAACTGAGCCGGATGCTGGATGTAACTCTGAGCCGGATGCTGGATGTAACTGAGCTGGATGCTGGATGTAACTCTGAGCTGGATGCTGGATGTAACTCTGAGCCGGATGCTGGATGTAACTCTGAGCTGAATACTGGATGTAACCCTCAGCCGGATGCTGGATGTAACTCTTAGCCGGATGCTAGATATAACTCTGTGCTGGATGCTAGATGCTGGATGTAACTCTCAGCCGGATGCAACTCTGAGTCGGATGCTGGATGTAACTCTGAGCCGGACGTTGGATGCCGGATGCAACTCTGAGCCGGATGCTGGATGTAACTCTCAGCCGAATGCTGGATGTAACTCTGAGCTGGATGCTATACTGAATGTAACATTCAGCTCTCAGTGTTACAGCTCCTACTGCAATTTGATGTGGTCCATCAATCAATGTAGCCTATCATGTTTGACAGCAGCAATGGTGTTTAAACACTTACAAACAATGTTGAAAAGGGGATGTTAGCCAACATTGGTTGGAGCAAAAAGTACATTAGGTCTATTTACCAAATTTAGCAAACTGTACAAAGTTTCTACCCGTAGCTTGCAATGTAAATATTACCAGCTAACAGTTGTGTAAAGTACTTCAGTAAAAATACTTGAAAGAACTACTTAAGTAGTTTTTCTTGGTATCTGTACTTTACTATTTATATTTTTGACAACTTTTACTTCACTACATTCCGAAAGAAAATAATGTACTTTTTATTCCATACATTTTCCCTGACACCCAAAAGTACTTGTTACATTTAGACAGGAAAATTGTCCAATTCACGCACTTATCAAGAGAACATCCCTGGTCATCTGATCTGGCAGACTTACTAATCACAAATGCTTCAATTGTAAATTATGTGTGAGTGTTGGAGTGTACCCCTGGATATCCATAAATTAAATAAAACTAGAAAATTGTGCTGTCTGGTTTGCTTAATTTCAAAGGAATTTTAAATTATTTATACTTGTACTTTTACTTTTGATACTTAAGTATATTTAGGCAATTCCATTTACTTTTGATACTTCAGTATATTTAAAACCAAATACTTTTAGACTTTTACTCAAGTAGTATTTTACTGGTTGACTTTCACTTTTACTTGAGTCATTTTCTATTAAGGTATCTTTACTTTTACTCAAGTATGACAATTGAGTACTTTTTCCACCACTGCCAGCTAACAGTACACCACCGGCAAATGGACCCTTCTGCTGCTTGACAGGCAGAGCCCACAAAGGATGGGAAATTAATCTAAACCATACTTGTCAGGTATACAGTGCCTTCAGAAAGTATTCATACCCCTTGACTTATTCCACATTTTGTTGTGTTACAGGCTGAATTCAAAATGGATTTAAAAAATAAATAATTATCACCCATCTACACACAATACCTCATAATGACAAAGTGAAAATATGTTGTTTTTAGAAATGTTAGCAAATGTATTGAAAATGAAAAATTGCATTTACATAAGTATTCACACCCCTGAGCGGATATTTTGTAGAAGCACCTTTGGCAGCAATTACAGCTGTGAGTCTTTCTGGGTAAGTCTGTAAGAGCTGTCCACACCTGGATTGTGCATGTAGTGTATTAAGATTATGACTATTCTAGTGGAACCTGGGGGGGATGTTTATTTTAGTTCAAAAGTAGCCATTTGTAGGGTGACGCCCCAGGGGAGACAGGTGATTGGACAGCAGAGGGAGCAACCCATATTTTTGCATTCTTTATAAGTATAGGCTGGAGGCAGAGGGGGTTAGAACAGACATTATCTTTGGACACTGTTCTCCAGCCCGGCAGGGTCTGTAAACTTATGCTGACATCTTGTGATATAAATAAAACTTATAATCAAAGTACAGCCTAAGCGGACTCTTTGGTTGACAGCAATAATTACCAGCATTGACACGATACAACATGCAACTTTGTAGAAGCAACTTTGGCAGCGATTACGGCTGTGAGTCTTTCTGGGTAAGTCTCTAAGAACTTTCCACACCTGGTTTGTGCAATATTTGCCCATTATTCTTTTCGAAATTCTTCAAGCTCTGTCAAATTGGTTGTTGATCATTGCTATACAACCATTTTCAGGTCTTGCCATAGATTTTCAAGTAGATTTAAGTCAAAACTGTAACTCAGCCACTCAGGAACATTCACCGTCTTCTTGGTAAGTTACTCCAGTGTAGATTTGGCTTTGTGTTTTAGGTTATTGTCTTGCTGAAAGGTAAATTAATCTCCCAGTGTCTGGTGGAAAGCAGACTGAACCAGGTTTTACTTTAGGATTTTGCCTCCATTGCATTTATTTTTCATCCTGAAAAACTCCACAGTCCTTAATGATTACAAGCATACCCATAACATGATATGCAGCCACAACTATGCTTGAAAATATGGAAAGTGGTACTCAGTAATGTGTTGTATTGGATTTGCCCCAAACATAACACTTTGTATTGAGGACAAAAAGTTAATTGCCAATTTTTTTTTGCAATATTACTTTAGTGCCTTGTTGCAAACAGGATGCATGTTTTGGATTATTTTTATTCTGTACAGACTTCCTTCTTTTCACTGTCAATTAGGTTAGTATTGTGGAATAACTACAATGTTGTTGATCCATCGTCAGTTTTGATGACTGTTTTAGTCACTATTGGCCGCATGGTGAAATGTATGTGCGGTTTCCTTCCTCTCCGGCAACTGATTTAGGAAGGCTGCCTGTATCTTTGTAGTGACTGGGTGTATTTACAGTATTTACCATCAAAAGTGTAATTAATAACTTCACCATGCTCAAAGGGTTATTCAAGGTATTTTTTTTTGTTGGTTTAACCCAATAGGTACCCTTCTTTGCAAAGTATTGGAAAACCTCCCTGGTCTTTGTTGTTGAATCTGTTTGAAATATACTGCTTGACTGAGGGACCTCACAGATAATTGTATGTGTGGGGTACAGAGATAGGTAGTCATTTAAAAATCATGTTAAACACTATTATTGTACACAGAGTGAGTCCATGCTTCTTATGGGACTTGTTAAGTACATTTTTACTCCTGAACTTATTTAGGGTTGTCATAACAAAGGGGTTGAATACTTAACTCAAGACATTTTAGCTTTGCATTTTGAAATTGTAAAACATCATTAAACTTTGACATTATCGGATATTGTGTGTAGGCAGTGACAAAAAAATCTAAATTGAATCCATTTTCAATTCAGGCTATAACACAAAGTGTGGAAAATGTCAAGGGGTGTGAATACTTTCTGAAGGACTGTAGTTCACTGTTATATCACTCATATCCAATTAATGTTGGCCAATATTGAGAGATATCGTGAGGCTACCCTCACGTATCCGAAATTATATGATCAATTGATGTTTACTGATCATGAAAAGCATGCAGTTACTTACTGTATAACTCTGATGATAGTTAAATGTGCGCAATTGTTTTGCATGGAATAATCAGAAATGTGTAGTTCTGCTCTATGCTCTTCAAGAGATGATATTACAACCAAATAGTTAACATTTAACAATCCCTTGAAAACGGTACGCAGTTGTTGTCAATAGTTTTAGCGGAGCTGGGGTCTCCTTGCCCCCCAGCAGGCAAATCGAACGCTTTGCACATTATTGTGACATTTTATTGATTAAGACCTAATAGACACAGCCCAACTTTCAAGCAAAGTAACTTACCTCAATTTGCTGTGGTGCACAGGGGCAATAGAATAACTGTTTTTCAGTGGAATTGCTCATCAAATTCTGCCAGTTTAACATCATGCCATAGCTTGCTGGACCGATCAAAAGTTGAACTGTCATACACACTGGTGTAAGGTGCAGCGGCTAGTTCAACATAAGTATGATGTGCTTTTTCCTACCACAAACCACAGAGATGTGAGTTTGCCGTTTGTTGGCTTTAAAGATGACAGGAAGAGCCATCAGACTTCCTTTTAAAGCAAATATATGTGTGATTATAATACATGGGTTAAACTGTTATGAGCTGGAACATTGGACTTAATGCTTATATTTTAAACTGGTTCTACACTCCTGAAGTAGCTAATTAGATACGAGTATACTCATATGAAATACTGAGTATGGAAAATGAGTTAAGCCATGCTTATAAGGACACACATTTCAGTTGACCTTTACCTCTACATTTTAGAGTGTTGAACAGTCCTTTACACTTTATTCTTTGGAAATTGCGAGATTCTTCACCAATGGACATACTTTATCACTCACTATTCTACATTCCATTTAGAAAGAAACATTCCAGTAAGGAGTCCTGAAGTTAAAACTACTATAAACATGCTATTTTATTCACAGATAATAAATACATATAAATGCAGCTTCTATCATGTAAACATATGAATTCATTTAATAATAGGAAGTACTTAATGAAACTTAACACACCAAAGACTACTTGAAATAGAAAACAATGCTATTTCTTCAGCATAACAGTAAGTCTATCCTAAAAAGCACTTTGTATAAAGTTCAGTGTATAACTTCATATTTACAAACATTTACATATATCTATGCATCCTTCCGTCCTCCTTTCCACAAAGTACAGTAATCACTGATGGTGGACAATGAAGACAACATGTCCTTGACCCAACAGGAGTTAGTTGTCTGTCCTTAGTCAAAGGCCAGTGTCTCTGGCTCTCCAGTGGTGGAGCGAGGAGCTGACAGAGTGTCTGACTTTCGACCCTCCGCTAAGGCTTTGAAATGCTGAAACAAGGAGATGTTTTTTAGGATGGGAGGACTAAACATTATCATTGAAAAATAGCTAAATAAGTTACATTACTTTGGACATTTCACCAAATTGTGCTATTTATAATTCATGTTTATGGTGCTGTTCCGCAAAATTGGCTTTTTAACAATTTTGTCAGAAATAAACTACTGAAAGAACATGACAATCACAGCAGACATGATGACACTGTCATCCCAATGGTCCCTACTGAACTGAAAGTTAGGGGAGTAAATACTGCGGTACCTGTGAGTTTTTGAACTCAGAGTAAAGGGTGAACAGCACATGGAGTGAGTGAATCCGGCTCTTGTAGATGGGGATGTCGAGGATTCCTTTGAGAGAGTGAAAAAAAAGAAGGAATGTATTCAGTAAGGCACAACTAACACATTTCTTATAGGAGTCCAGATTGTCCAAATGTTTTATCCAAATGTGTTACACAAGCAGACAGACATTGTTGAATGCATTGTGTGCAGAGATGGTGAAAAACTCACCACATATGACCTCAATGTACTCGTTCAGATCACAATTGATATCGGCCGTTGGTAGGCTAACCTAGAAAAAAAGGTGAGGAAGGGTTGAGGTAGAGAAAACAGAAAACAGTTTTGACAATGGTTGGGCTTTTGCTTTCTGTGCAAAGGGAACACAGCAACTCTTGAAGGACACCAGAAGTTGATAAGAAAGCTTCTTTACTTAATAGTGTTTAACTGCTGCCCTACGTACATAGTCATTGAACACTGGTCACAATAATACAATGTTTATACACTGTTTTACCCACTTCATATGTATATACTGTATTCTAGTCAAGGCTCATCCCATATAACTACTGCTGTACACACCTTTTCTTCATATACTGTCTATACACACCATCATATACACTGAGTGTACAAAACATTAGGAACACCTGCACTTTCCATGACAGACTGACCAGGTGAAAGTTATGATCCCTTATTGATGTCACTTGTTAAAGCCACTTAAACCAGTGTAGATTAAGAGGAGGAGACAGGTTAAAGAAGGATTTGTAAGTCTTGAGACAATTGAGACATGTATTGTGTATGTGTGCCATTCAGAGGATGAATGGGCAAGACAAAAGATTGAAGTGCCTTTGAATGTGGTATTTTAGTAGGTGCCAGGCACATCGGTTTGAGTGTCAAGAACTGCAACGCTGCTAGGTTTTTCACGCTCAACAGTTTCCCATGTGTATCAAGAATGGTCCACCACCCTAAGGACATCCAGCCAACTTGACACAACTGTGGGAAGCATTGGAGTCAACATGGGCCAGCATCCATGTGGAACGCTTTAGACACCTTGTAGAATTGAGGCTGTTCTGAGGTCAAAAGGTGGTGCAACTCAAAAAAATAAAGGGAACACTTAAACAACACATCCTAGATCTGAATGAATGAAATAATCTTATTAAATACTTTTTTCTTTACATAGTTGAATGTGCTGACAACAAAATCACACAAAAATTATCTATGGAAATCAAATTTATCAACCCATGGAGGTCTGGATTTGGAGTCACCCTCAAAATTAAAGTGGAAAACCACACTACAGGCTGATCCAACTTTGATGTAATGTCCTCAAAACAAGTCAAAATGAGGCTCAGTAGTGTGTGTGGCCTCCACGTGCCTGTATGACCTCCCTACAACGCCCGGGCATGCTCCTGATGAGGTGGCGGATGGTCTCCTGAGGGATCTCCTCCCAGACCTGGACTAAAGCATCCGCCAACTCCTGGACAGTCTGTGGTGCAACGTGGCGTTGGTGGATGGAGCGAGACATGATGTCCCAGATGTGCTCAATTGGATTCAGGTCTGGGGAACGGGCGGGCCAGTCCATAGCATCAATGCCTTCCTCTTGCAGGACCTGCTGACACACTCCAGCCACATGAGGTCTAGCATTGTCTTGCATTAGGAGGAACCCAGGGCCAACCGCACCAGCATATGGTCTCACAAGGGGTCTGAGGATCTCATCTCGGTACCTAATGGCAGTCAGGCTACCTCTGGCGAGCACATGGAGGGCTGTGCGTCCCCCCAAAGAAATGCCACCCCACACCATGACTGACCCACCACCAAACCGGTCATGCTGGAGGATGTTGCAGGCAGCAGAACGTTCTCCACGGCGTCTCTAGACTCTGTCACGTCTGTCACATGTGCTCAGTGTGAACCTGCTTTCATCTGTGAAGAGCACAGGGCGCCAGTGGCGAATTTGCCAATCTTGGTGTTCTCTGGCAAATGCCAAACGTCCTGCACGGTGTTGGGCTGTAAGCACAACCCCCACCTGTGGACGTCGGGCCCTCATACCACCCTCATGGAGTCTGTTTCTGACCGTTTGAGCAGACACATGCACATTTGTGGCCTGCTGGAGGTCATTTTGCAGGGCTCTAGCAGTGCTCCTCCTGCTCCTCCTTGCACAAAGGCGGAGGTAGCGGTCCTGCTGCTGGGTTGTTGCCCTCCTACGGCCTCCTCCACGACTCCTGATGTACTGGCCTGTCTCCTGGTAGCGCCTCCATGCTCTGGACACTACGCTGACAGACACAGCAAACCTTCTTGCCACAGCTCGCATTGATGTGCCATCCTGGATGAGCTGCACTACCTGAGCCACTTGTGTGGGTTGTAGACTCCGTCTCATGCTACCACTAGAGTGAAAGCACCGCCAGCATTCAAAAGTAACCAAAACATCAGCCAGGAAGCATAGGAACTGAGAAATGGTCTGTGGTCACCACCTGCAGAACCACTTCTTTATTGGAGGGTGTCTTGCTAATTGCCTATAATTTCCACCTGTTGTCTATTCCATTTGCACAACAGCATGTGAAATTTATTGTCAATCAGTGTTGCTTCCTAAGTGGACAGTTTGATTTCACAGAAGTGTGATTGACTTGGAGTTACATTGTGTTGTTTAAGTGTTCCCTTTATTTTTTTGAGCAGTGTATATACCGAACAAAAATATCAACGCAACATGTAAAGTGTTGGTTTCAAGAGCTGAAATAAAATATCCCAGACATTTTTTATACGCAAAAAAAGCTTATTTCGCTCTTATTTTGTGCACAGATTTGTTTACATCCTTGTTAGAGAGCATTTATCCTTTGCCAAGATAATCCATCCACCTGACAGGTGTGGCATATCAAGAAGCTGATTAAACAGCATGATCATTACACAGGTGCACCTTGTGCTGGGGACAATAAACGGCCACTCTAAAATGTGCATTTTTGTCACATAACAATGCCACAGATGTCTCAATTTTGAGGGAGCGTGCAATTGGCATGCTGACTGCAGGAATGTCCACCAGAGCTGTTGCCAGAGGATTAAATGTTCATTTCTCTACCATAATACGCCACCAACATCGTTTTAGAGAATTTGGCAGTACGTCCAACCGGCCTCACAACCGCAGACCACGCCAGCCCAGGACCTGCATATCTGGCTTCTTCACCTGCGGGATCATCTGAGACCAGCCACCCGAACAGCTGATGAAACTGAGGAGTATTTCTGTCTGTAATAAAGCCCTTTTGTGGGGAAAAACTAATTCTGATTGGTTGGGCCTGGCACCTAAGTGGGTGGGCCTATGCCCTCCCAGGCCCACCCATGGCTGCGCCACTGCCCAGTCATGTGAAATCCATAGATTTCCTTATATGAACTATAAATCAGTAAAATCTCTGAAATTGTTGCATGTTTTTTTATTTTTGTTCAGTATACCCGAACTCTGACATTGCTTGTTCTGATATTTCTTAATTTCCTTATTTATAGGATTTGTGTGTATTGTTTTGTATTGTTCGGTAATACTGCACTGTTGGAGCTAGAAACATAAGCATTCCGCTGCACCTGCGATAACATCTGCAAAATATGTGTACGCGACCAATAAAATTAGATTTGAGTATCAAATGTAGGGTATGAAAATGAACCTTGGTCACAATGATGTGTCCAATTAAGGCTGCATTTAGACAAGTCAATGCTGAACAGGAAATTACAGACAGGAAGTAGCTAGCTAGCAGGTCAAATTTCTTGCTGTTTAAAATATCCATTGTTCCATAGATAGATGAGCAGATTCAGTTCAGGTTTGGTGACTAACCTTTCCCAGCAGCTCTTCAAATTCAGGTGGCCACTCCTGCATTAGAGTATCAATGTCTGGCATGGACCTGGAACAATATAATACACCCATCGTTTCATATCAGTGGTTACATTCCAATGTCCATACTAGCACACCACATGCATATATTTTTACATTTTTAGTCATTTAGCAGACGCTCTTATCCAGAGCGACTTACAGTTAGTGAGTTCATACATTCATACATTACTTCCTTCTTAGTAGAATGCAAATTTGGATATTGGAAGTTTGGCACGGAGCCAGTGTCTATTCACCTTCACATAAATCACTGAACTGACTTAGAATCAGATAATGGTCAGAGTCTGTGACAGTTTCAGTACCAGTTCTAGCCGGTCCCAGATCTGTTTGTGCTGTATAGCAAACTCTTATGGTCATTGTCATACCAAACATTTGTTTTGGAGTTTGCTATATAGCACAAACAGATCTGGGACCAGGCTAGGGCAGCACCAGTACTGTGAGGTAAAGTAAACATTTGCCTGGTGTAGTGGACGGTGGCTGGGGGTTTGGCACGATGGAGCTCACTGATGCTCTCGATCCAATTCTCGATGGCTTTGGGATTCTTCTCTGGGTTCTCCACACTTTTCACTTTCACCTCCTGAGCAGCGCATGGAAAGAAGGGATCAATGAATTTGCAGTGTGTGTGTGTGTGTGTGTCTCAAAGCAGTACCCATAGTTATGTGCACAGTGATGTAAATTGTGCCCGACTGTGGGGGATTTATAAAGCTGCACCGTGTTATACTTGTTGTTCTTACCGCAATGTTGTGCTGCTTGCTGTTCTCAGAGAGCCACAGTGACAGGACAGTGGGGTCTGACTGCTTGGTGCATGGCTCATCCAGGACCAACAGCCCCAGGTTGTCTGCTTTGCCATCGGGACGTGGGACCTGAGGTTACAATGGAACAAAGTAATTGACAGTAGCCCAGCTCGGAGAGCTTATTATTACATTCCACCTTCCTCCCTGCATCTTTTGATGTAACCACTGATCATTACATGATTGGATTAGAAAACACAAAGTTTACACCAAATTGGACATTTCATCAATGTGACTCCATCAAGCAGGGAAGGAAAGAACTGGCACCATAAAATAAATGTGAAGCTAAGAGAAAATGTGTTTTTTTGGTAATGCTTACTTTAAGGAAGGCATCAATGTCTCCCACCGCTGGGATGAAATCAGGTATAAAGGGTTTAAGCTTGTGGTCTAGTTCAATGGTCTGAGGAGTATACCTGCAGATTCACAAACAATGTTACTAAAAAAAAATATATATAATAATTATGCGGAATTGTTGCTTGGAGCAAGGGCTGTTTTTCGACCTGTGTAGAAATGTCAATAAGTGGCATATTCAGCTTAGTCAGCTGTAAATAAACACAAACAGCTCTGTATCTGAGCTGCAGGCGCCACTCACCGAGTGATGTACTGAAACAGCTCTTTGATCTCCGCAGTGACAGGAAGGTGGTCGTAGTCTGCCGGGTCATATGCCCTGCAAAGAAAAGCATCAGATTTGGGATGTTTGTCCGTTTACATTTCAAATGAACTACAGTGCTGTGAAAATATATTTGCCCCCTTTCTGATTTTCTCTATTTTTGACACTGAATGTTATCAGTTCTTCAACCAAAACCTACTATTAGATAAAGGGAACCTGAGTGAACAAATAACACAAAATGTTGATACTTATTTCATCTATTTAATTAAACATAATTCAAAACCCAATCCCCCTGTGTGAAAAAGTAACTGGTTGTATCACCTTTTTCCTACCGCAACCAAACGCTTCCTGTAGAGGAATTTTGTCCCACTTTTCCATGCATAAATGCTTTAACTCAGTGACATTTGTGGATTTTCAAGAATTAATCAGGTTTAGGTCTGGACTTTGACTAAGCCATTCCAAAACTAACAATGTGTTGCTTTTCAGCCATTCTGATGTAGACTTGCTTGTGTGTTTTAGATTATTATCTTTCTGCATGACCCAGCTGTGCTTCAGCTTCAGCTCACGGACGGATGGCCTTTCATTCTCCTGTAGAATTCTCTGATACAGGGCAGAATTATGGTTCCTTCAATGATGGCAAGTCGTCCAGGTCCTGAGGCAGCAAAGCATCCCCAAACCGCCACACTACCACCATCATGCTGGACAATTGGTATGAGGTTCTTACTGTGGAATGCAGTGTTTGGTTTTTGCGAGACATAACGGGACCCATGTCCTCCAACAAATCGACTCAAGTTTGCCAAAAAGCCCCTGGATGATCGTCAAGAATCCTGGAAGAATGTTCTATGGACAGATAAGTCAAAAGTGGAAATTTCTTGACGACATGGGTCCCGTTATGTCTTGCTTTGCTGCCTCAGGACCTGGACAACTTGCCATCATTGAAGGAACCATGAATACTGCTCTCAATGATGTTTACATGCACACTAATAATTCGACATTAAACTGATTATGGCAGTAGGCCGAATATGGCATTAGTCATGTAAACACCTTACTCTGCTTATCTTAAATCAGTGTAAGGTCATAATCAAAGTTAAGCATACGCCGATTAAAACTGGTTTTCTGCGCAATGTTAACGTCTTAAAATCAGAATTACAGTAGTGTATTAGATCTGCGCATGTGCTAGCACTAGCAGCGCAAGCTTCTATTCTTTTGCGCGAGTGAAATGAGTTTCGGAGAAACTAAAAGTAGGCATCTTAAAAATTGTTTTCCCATACAAACTTTATATGCCCCAACTCAGAATCAAATAGGCATCACAACAATAACATGGTCGCTGTGGTAGAGCTTTATTTTGATTGCCGATTTTCTGCATTTATCAAAAAACCCGATTTAGATGTTGTGGCAGGACCTGAAACAAGTAGTTCATGCTCCAAAACCCACAAATGTCACTGAGTTAAAGCAGTTCTGCATAGAAACGTGGGGTAGAATTCCTTCACAGCTATGTGAGACTGAAAAACAACTACAGGAAGCGTTTGGTTGCTGTCAATGCAGCTAAAGGTGGCACAACCAGTTATTGAGCGTTAGGGGGCAAATACTTTTTCACACAGGGGCATTAGGTGTTGCATAACTTTGTTTATTAAATAAATGAAATAAGTATGACAAATGTTGTGTTCTTTGTCACTCGGTTTCCCTTTATCTAATATTAGGTTTTGGTTGAAGAACTGATAACATTCAGTTAGGAAAATATGCAAAAATCTAGAAAATCAGAAAGGGGGCAAATACTTTTTCACAGCACAGTAAGTGTGTATAAATGAAACAATCTTTCTGTGATAAATGTTGAACACAGTGAATGTTGTACAGGAGTGAGTGGACAAACCATAAAGATGCAAACCTACAGCGCCTTCAGAAGGTATTCACACCTCTTGACTTTTCCCACATTTTGTTGTGCCTGAATTTAAAATGGATTAAATTGAGATTTATTTGTCACTGGCATACACACAATACCCCATAATGTCAAAGTGGAATCATGTTTTCATAAATGTTTACAAATTAATTAAAAATGAAAAGCTGAAAAGTATTCAACCGCTTTGTTATGGCAAGCCTAAATAAGTTCAGGAGTAAAAATGTGCTAAACAAGTCACATGGATAATAGTGTTTAACATGATTTTTGAATGACTACCTCATCTCTGTACCCCACACATACAATTATCTGTAAGGTCCCTCAGTCGAGCAGTGAATTTCAAACACAGATTCAACCACAAAGACCAGGGAGGTTTTCCAATGCCTCTCAAAAGAAGGGCCCCTTTGGGTAAAAAAACAGACAGACAATGAATACCCTTTGAGCATGGTGAAGTTATTAATTACACTTTAGATGGGTGTACAATACACTCAGTCACTACCAAAGATACAGACTCCTTCCTAACTCGGGTTGCAAGAGAGGAGGAAAACCGCTCAGAGATTTCACCATTAGGCCAATGGCGACTTTAAAACAGTTACAGAGTTTACTGACTGTGATAGGAGAAAACTGAGGCTGGCTCAACAACATTGTAGTTACTCCACAATACTAACCTAATTGACAGCATGAAAATAAGGAAGCCTGTACAGAATAAAAACATTCCAAAACATGCATCCTGTTTGTGACAAGGCACTAAAGTAAGAAATTAACTTTTTGTCCTGAATACAAAGTGTTATGTTTGGGGCAAATCCAATCCAACACATTACTGAGTACCACTCTCCATATTTTCAAGCATAGTGGTGGCTGCATCATGTTATGGGTATGCTTGTAATCTTTAAGGACTGGGGAGTTTTTCAGGATAAAAAAATTTAACTGGAGCTAAGCAAAGGCAAAATCATAGAGGAAAACCTGGTTCAGTCTGATTTCCACCAGACACTGAGATGAATTCGCCTTTCAGCAGGACAATAACCTAAAACACAAGGCCAATCTACACTGGAGTTGCTTACCAAGAAGACAGTGAATGTTCCTGAGTGGCTGAGTTACAGTTGACTTAAATCTACTTGAAAATCTATGGCAAGACTTGAAAATGGTTGTCTAGCAATGATCAACAACCAATTTGACAGAGCTTCAAGAACTTCGAAAAGAATAATGGGCAAATATTGCACAAACCAGGTGTGGAAAGCTCTTAGAGACTTACCCAGAAAGACTCACAGCCGTAATGGCTGCCAAAGTTGCTTCTACAAAGTATTGACTCAGGTGTGTGAATACTTATGTAAATGTATTCATTTTTTCAATACATTTGCCACAATTTCTAAAAACATGTTTTCACTTTGTCATTATGGGGTATTGTGTGTAGATGGGTGAGAAAACATTTTTTTAATCAATTTTTAAATCAGGCTGTAACACAACAAAATGTGGAATAAGTCAAGGGGTATGAATACTTTCTGAAGGCACTGTAGCTGCATAAAGCATTCTGTGAAGTTATCCTCGATTAAGATTTGTTCCTATTAGAAAATATGGCTTCTACCTACACCTGGCTTGAATAGAACTGCCTCTTACTCAATTCTAAAACTGACCTGCACGTATAGCTCGGATCATCTTCCGTTGTCTTCTCCCTATCGAGATACTTAACTATCTCTGGCCCTGGCTGTCTGCTCACAAAATGTACATGGTTATTATTATGAGCATATAGGACCTTCATGTAGCAACTCAAAGACCTCTCTCCTCACCTCCTTAATCCACATAGGAGGAGAAGATCCAAAGTCCCTCCGATCGGACCTTCTCCTCCAATGTGTTTTAAGATACTCAACTATCTCTGACTCTGGCTGCCTGCTCACAAAATGAACACAGTTATGATGAGCATATAGGACCTTCATTTGACAACTCAAAGATGTTCTTGCCAAGTTTGAGGCCCTGAGCCCTGGCATCAAAAAGGTTTGTGGGTCTGTCTAATTTGGATGCAAGGAGCTGAGGGTTTAAACACAATTTGTGTCCTCCTTACTAAGACATGACATGATGGTATAATGGTGTGTGTGTGTGTGTGTGTCAGTGTTTCCATTAGCCGGTAATAGTCGGCTTTTGTCCCAAAAAAAGAAAAGAAAAGACAATTAATACAATTGGAGCTGGTCAATTGTTCAGGATAAAAAAAATACACATATACAGTGGGGAGAACAAGTATTTGATACACTGCCGATTTTGCAGGTTTTCCTACTTACAAAGCATGTAGAGGTCTGTAATTTTTATCATAGGTACACTTCAACTGTGAGAGACGGAATCTAAAACAAAAATCTAGAAAATCACATTGTATGATTTTTAAGTAATTAATTTGCATTTTATTGCATGACATAAATATTTGATACATTTTTTTTAAATTTTTTTTATTTCACCTTTATTTAACCAGGTAAACCAGTTGAGAACAAGTTCTCATTTACAACTGCGACCTGGCCAAGATAAAGCATAGCAGTGCGATAAAAACAAACACAGAGTTACATATGGGGTAAAACAAAAACAAAGTCAAAAATACAACAGAAAATACATATAATATACAGTGTGCAAATTTAGCAAGTTATGGAGGTAAGGCAATAAAATAGGCTATAGTGCAAAATAATTACAATTAGTATAACACTGGAATGATAGATGTGCAAGAGATGATGTGCAACATAGAGATACTGGGGTACAAATGAGCAAAATAGATAACAATAAGGGATTGAGGTAGTTGGGCGGGCTAATTTCAGATGGGCTGTGTACAGGTGCAGTGATCGGTAAGGTGCTCTGACAAACTGATGCTTAAAGTTAGTGAGGGAGATAAGTGTCTCCAGCTTCAGAGATTTTTGCAATTTGTTCCAGTCATTGGCAGCAGAGAACTGGAAGGAATGGCGGCCAAAGGAGGTGTTGGCTTTGGGGATGACCAGTGAGATATACCCGCTGGAGCGCAGACTACGGGTGGGTGTTGCTATGGTGACCAATGAGCTAAGATAAGGCGGGGATTTGCCTAGCAGTGATTTATAGATGGCCTGGAGCCAGTGGGTTTGGCGACGAATATGTAGTGAGGACAGCCAACAAGAGCGTACAGGTCACAGTGGTGGGTATTATATGGGGATTTGGAGACAAAACGGATGGCACTGTGATAGACTACATCCAATTTGCTGAGTAGAGTGGTTGGAGGCTTATTTTGTAAATGACATCGCCGAAGTCAAGGATCGGTAGGATAGTCAGTTTTACGAGGGCATGTTTGGCAGCATGAGTGAAGGAGGCTTTGTTGCGAAATAGGAAACCGATTCTAGATTTAACTTTGGATTGGAGATTCTTAATGTGAGTCTGGAAGGAGAGTTTACAGTCTACACCAGACACCTAGATATTTGTAGTTGTCCACATACTCTAGGTCAGACCCGTCGAGAGTAGTGATTCTAGTCGGGTGGGCGGGTGCAAGCAGCGTTCGGTTTGAAGAGCATGCATTTAGTTTTACTAGTGTTTAAGAGCAGTTGGAGGCTACTGAAGGAGTGTTGTATGGAATTGAAGCTCGTTTGGAGGTTTTTGTTAACACAGTGTCCAATGAAGGGCCAGATGTATACAAAATGGTGTCGTCTGCGTAGAGGTGGATCTGAGAGTCACCAGCAGCAAGAGCAACGTCATTGATATACACAGAGAAAAGAGTCGGGCCCAAGAATTGAACCCTGTGGCACCCCCATAGAGACTGCCATAGGTCCAGACAACAGGCCCTCCGATTTGACACATTGAACTCTATCTGAGAAGTAGTTGGTGAACCAGGCGAGGCAGTCATTTGAGAAACCAAGGCTATTTAGTCTGCCAATAAGAATGCGGTGGTTGACAGAGTCGAAAGCCTTGGCCAGGTCAATGAAAACGGCTGCACAGTACTGTCTATTATCGATCGCGGTTATAATATCGTTTAGGACCTTGAGCGTGGCTGAAGTGCACCCATGACCAGCTCGGAAACCAGGATTGCATAGCGGAGAAGGTCCGGTGGGGATTCGAAATGGTCGGTGATCTGTTTGTTGACTTGGCTTTCAAAAAACTTTTGAAAGGCAGGGCAGGATGGATATGGGTCTGTAACAGTTTGGATCTAGAGTGTCACCCCCTTTGAAGAGGGGGATGACCGCGGCAGCTTTCCAATCTCTGGGGATCTCAGACGTTACGAAAGAGAGGTTGAACAGGCTAGTAATAGGGGTTGCGACAATTTCGGCGGCTAGTTTTAGAAAGAAAGGGTCCAGATTGTCTAGCCCAGATGATTTGTAGGGGTCCAGATTTTGCAGCTCTTTTAGAACATCAGCTGTCTGGATTTGTGTGAAGGAGAAGCGGGGGGGGGCATGGGCAAGTTGCAGCGGAGGGTGCAGAGCTGGTGGCCGGGGTAGTGGTAGCCAGGTGGAAAGCATGGCCAGCCGTAGCAAAATGCTTGTTGAAATTCTCGATTATTGTAGATTTATCGGTGGTGATAGTGTTTCCTAGCCTCAGTGCAGTGGGCAGCTGGGAGGAAGTGCTCTCATTTTCCATGGACTTTACAGTGTCCCAAAACTTTTTGGAGTTAGTGCTACAGGATGCAAATTTCTGTTTGAAAAAGTTAGCCTTTGCTTTCCTAACTGCTTGTGTATATTGGTTCCTAACTTCCCTGAAAAGTTGCATATCGCGGGGGCTATTTGATGCTAATGCTGTACGCCACAGGATGTTTTTGTGCTGGTCAAGGGCAGTCAAGTCTGAGGAGAACCAGGGGCTATATCTGTTCTTAGTTCTGTATTTTTTGAATGGGGCATGTCTATTTAAGATTGAGAGGAAATTACTTTTAAAGAACAACCAGGCATCCTCTACTGACGGAATGAGATCTATATCCATCCAGGATACCTGGGCCAGGTCAATTAGGAAGGCCTGCTCGCTGAAGTGTTTTTGGGAGCGTTTGACAGTGATGAGGGGTGGTCGTTTGACCGCGGACCCGTTACGGACGCAGGCAATAAGGCAGTGATCGCTGAGATCCTGGTTGAAGACAGCGGAGGTGTATTTAGAGGGTAAGTTAGTCAGGATGATATCTATGAGGGTACCCATGTTTACGGATTTAGGGTTGTACCTGGTAGGTTCGTTGATAATTTGTGTGAGATTGAGGGCATCTAGTTTAGATTGTAGGATGGCCAGGGTGTTAAGCATATCCCAATTTAGGTCACCAAGCAGTACGAACTCTGAGGATAGATGGGGGGCAATCAATTCACATATGGTGTCCAGGGCACAGCTGGGGGCTGAGGGGGGTCTGTAGCAAGCGGCAACAGTGAGAGATTTATTTCTGGAAAGGTGGATTTTTAGAAGTAGAAGCTCAAACTGTTTGGGCACAGACCTGGATAGTATGATGGAGCTCTGCAGGCTATCTCTACAGTAGATTGCAACTCCACCCCCTTTGGCAGTTCTATCTAGACGGAAAATGTTATAGTTGGGGATGGAAATTTCAGAATTTTTGGTGGCCTTCCTAAGCCAGGATTCAGACACTGCTAGAACATCAGGGTTGGCGGAGTGTGCTAACGCAGTGAATAACTCAAACTTAGGAAGGAGGCTTCTGATATTTATGTGCAGAAAACCAAGACTTTTACGGTTACAGAAGTCAACAAATGATAGCTCCTGGGGAGTAGGAGTGATACTGGGGGCTGCAGGGCCTGGGTTACCCTCTACATCACCAGAGGAACAGAGGAGGACTAGAATAAGGATACGACTAAAGGCTTTAAGAACTGGTCTTCTAGTGCGTTGGGTACATAGAATAAAGGGGGCAGTTCTCCGGGCGTTGTAGAAAAGATTCAGGGCATTATGTACAGAAAAGGATATGGAAGGATATGAGTACAGTTCAGGTAACCCTAAGCGTTGGGTAACAATGAAAGAGATAGCGTCATTGGAGGCATCGATTGAGCCGGTCTCGGCGTGTATGGGGGGGTGGAACAAAGGAACTATATGAGGCAGTTTGAGAGGGACTAGGGGTTCTACAGTGAAATTGTATAATAAGAACTAACCCAAACAGCAATAGGCAAGGCATAATTGACATGGGAGAGAGGCATAAAGCAGTCACAGGTGTTATTAGAGAGAGCTAAGACACAACTGGAAATAGCGATAAACGTTTGGGCTAAGACTAAACAGAATAAACAGGACAGGGTACCGTGTAAAGGAACAGTCCAGCAGGCATCAGCTGTGCAGCTGAGTGATCATAAGGTCCAGTGAACAGCAATATGTGAGTCCGAGAGCAGTTCAAATTGGTGCTTCAGCACAGCTAGCAGGGAGCACAGTTGTAGTTTGCGTGTGCTAGCGGGCCGGGGCTGGCAGATGGATCTTCGTGGTCGTCGCAACGGGAAGCCTGTTGAAACCACATCAGACTATTTCGTCGGCAAACCAGTCGTGTTGGATCGGCGGGGCTCCGTGTCAACACTAGGTGGTCCCGTCCGGTTGACAGAGAGGTAGATAGCCGGGAGATGGGAGATGGGCCTAGCTCAGGATGATTAGCCAGACCCCTCAACGTCCATTTTGTAGCAGCTAGCTGGTAGCGATGAATCCGGAGTTAAAGGTCCAGTGATTCAGTGATTCCGGCAGAAAAACTGATATGTTCTGGGTCGATAACGCGCTGTGCAGACAGTGCAGACTGGCCGAATAATAGTCCAGACTAGAGCTGGCTGGTAGGTGGTGCAGGCCACGGACAATGGTGAAAAACCGCTAACGGTAGCTGATAGCAAGTAGCTAGTTAGCTGGCTACTCCCGTCCGGTAGACCTAGAGGTAGATAGCCGGGATATGAGCCTGACTCTAGGCTAGCTCGAGGCTAACTGGTGCTTGCATCGGGGGCAGTGGTGATTAGCCAAACAGCAACATCCATTCGGTTGCGGCTAGCTAGTTGCGATCCGGTGATTAATGTCCAGTGATTAAATTATTCCGGCATAAAATCCAATGTTCTGGGTGAAATAGCAACTGTGGCTAATAGCAAGTAGCTAGTTAGCTGGCTAGCTAGTTTCAACTGGAGATTCTAGATAAAAGGTAAGTCAATAATAGAATCCGTTCCACATTGAGTGAGGCGGGTTGCAGGAAAGTATATTTTGTAGAAGGATGAAAAGTCTGATAGGAAAATATGTACGAAAAATACAAAAAAAACAGGGTATTTACAGGCTATTTACAGACACACGACAAAAACAGGACTGCACTACTACGCCATCTTGGAATCTATGTTCAGAAAAGCAGAACTTAATATTTGGTACAGAAACCTTTGTTGGCAATTACAGAGATCATACGTTTCCTGTAGGTCTTGACCAGGTTTGCACACACTGCAGCAGGGATTTTGGCCCACTCCTCCATACAGACCTTCTCCAGATCCTTCAGGTTTCGGGGCTGTCGCTGGGCAATACGGACTTTCAGCTCCCTCCAAAGATGTTATATTCGGTTCAGGTCTGGAGACTGGCTAGGCCACTCCAGGACCTTGAGATGCTTCTTACGGAGCCACTCCTTAGTTGCCCTGGCTGTGTGTTTCGGGTCGTTGTCATGCTGGAAGACCCAGCCACGACCCATCTTCAATGCTCTTACTGAGGGAAGGAGGTTGTTGGCCAAGATCTCGCGATACATGGCCCCATCCATCCTCCCCTCAATACGGTACAGTCGTCCAGTCCCCTTTGCAGAAAAGCATCCCCAAAGAATGACGTTTCCACCTCCATGCTTCACGGTTGGGATGGTGTTCTTGGGGTTGTACTCATCCTTCTTCTTCCTCCAAACACGGCGAGTGGAGTTTAGACCAAAAAGCTCTATTTTTGTCTCATCAGACCACAGGACCTTCTCCCATTCTTCCTCTGGATCATCCAAATGGTCATTGGCAAACTTCAGACGGGCCTGGACATGCGCTGGCTTGAGCAGGGGGACATTGCGTGCGCTGCAGGATTTTAATCCATGACGGTGTAGTGTGTTACTAATGGTTTTCTTTGAGACTGTGGTCCCAGCTCTCTTCAGGTCATTGACCAGGTCCTGCCGTGTAGTTCTGGGCTGATCCCTCACCTTCCTCATGATCATTGATGCCCCACGAGGTGAGATCTTGCATGGAGCCCCAGACCGAGGGTGATTGACCGTCATCTTGAACTTCTTCCATTTTCTAATAATTGCGCCAACAGTTGTTGCCTTCTCACCAAGCTGCTTGCCTAACTCCGCTGTGTCCTCCTCCCAGAGTGCGAAGAGCCTAGGCGTGACCCTGGACAACACCCTGTCGTTCTCCGCCAACATCAAGGCGGTGACCCGCTCCTGCAGGTTCATGCTCTACAACATTCGGAGAGTACGACCCTGCCTTACACAGGAAGCGGCACAGGTCCTAATCCAGGCACTTGTCATCTCCCGTCTGGACTACTGCAACTCGCTGTTGGCTGGCCTCCCTGCCTGTGCCATTAAACCCCTACAACTCATCCAGAATGCCGCAGCCCGTCTGGTGTTCAACCTTCCCAAGTTCTCTCACGTCACCCCCCTCCTCCGCACACTCCACTGGCTTCCAGTTGAAGCTCGCATCCGCTACAAGACCATGGTGCTTGCCTATGGAGCAGTGAGGGGAACGGCACCTCTGTACCTTCAGGCTCTGATCAGTCCCTACACCCAAACGAGGGCATTGCGCTCATCCACCTCTGGCCTGCTGGCTCCCCTTCCTCTGCGGAAGCATAGTTCCCGCTCAGCCCAGTCAAAACTGTTCGCTGCTCTGGCACCCCAATGGTGGAACAAGCTCCCTCACGACGCCAGGACAGCGGAGTCACTCACCACCTTCCGGAGACATTTGAAACCCCACCTCTTTAAGGAATACCTGGGATAGGATAAAGGAATCCTTCTACCCCCCCCCCCCCCCAATAGTAAAGTGGTTATCCCACTGGCTATAGGGTGAACGCACCAATTTGTGAGTCGCTCTGGCTAAGATCGTCTGCTAAATGACGTTAATGTGCCCTTGAGCAAGGCACTTAACCCTAATTGCTCCTGTAAGTCGCTCTGGATAAGAGCGTCTGCTAAATGACTAAAATGTAAAATGTAAAATGTATTGTCCTGTAGCCCATCCCAGCCTTGTGCAGGTCTACAATTGTATCCCTGATGTCCTTACACAGCTCTCTAGTCTTGGCCATTGTGGTTGAGGTTGGACTCCAAACTGATACGCAAAACGACGCCAGATTCAAAACTTAGAATTTTTCAATTTAAATTATTATATAAAATTCTTGCTACAAATACAATGTTATTTGTATGGGGGATACAATCTTCCCAGCTCTGCAGATTTGGCTGTGAAGAGACAGAATCATTAGATCATTTGTTTTGGTACTGTCCATTTGTAGCTTGTTTCTGGACACAGGTCCATGAATGGCTGAAGGATTGCAATATTTTCATGGAGCTGACCCTGCAGATAGCACTACTGGATGATCTGAAAAGTCATCAATAATATAATATTTATTTTAGCAAAAATGTTTATTTTCAATTCACAAACAAATGTTATCCCTGATGTCCTTACACAGCTCTCTGGTCTTGGCCATTGTGGAGAGGTTGGAGTCTGTTTGATTGAGTGTGTGGACAAGTGTCTTTTATACAGGTAACGAGTTCAAACAGGTGCAGTTAATACAGGTAATGAGTGGAGAAAAGGAGGGCTTCTTAAAGAAAAACTAACAGGTCTGTGAGAGCCGGAATTCTTACTGGTTGGTAGGTGATCAAATACTTATGTCACGCAATAAAATGCAAATTAATTACTTAAAAATCATACAATGTGATTTTCTGGATTTTTGTTTTAGATGCCGTCTCTCACAGTTGAAGTGTACCTATGATAAAAATTACAGACCTCTACATGCTTTGTAAGTAGGAAAACCTGCAAAATCGGCAGTGTATCAAATACTTGTTCTCCCCACTGTACATATATATATATATACACATACACACACACACACACACACACACACACACACATATACAGTTGAAGTCGGAAGTTTACATACACCTTAGCCAAATACGTTTAAACTCAGTTTTTCACAATTCCTGACATTTAATCCTAGTAAGAATTCCCTGTCTTAGGTCAGTTACGATCACCACTTTATTTTAAGAATGTGAAATGTCAGAATAATAGTAGAGAGAATGATTATTTCAGCTTTTATTTCTTTCATCACATTCCCAGTGGGTCAGAAGTTTACATACACTCAATTAGTATTTGGTAGCATTTAAATTGTTTAACTTGGGTCAAACGTTTCGGGTAGCCTTCCACAAGCTTCCCACAATAAGTTGGGTGAATTTTGGCCCATTCCTCCTGACAGAGCTGGTGTAACTGAGTCAGGTTTGTAGGCCTCCTTGCTTGCACACGCTTTTTCAGTTCTAACCACACATTTTCTATAGGATTGAGATCAGGGATTTGTGATGGCCACTCCAATACCTTGACTTTGTTGTCCTTAAGCCATTTTGCCACAACTTTGGAAGTATGCTTGGGGTCATTGTCCATTTGGAAGACACATTTTCAACCAAGCTTTAACTTCCTGACTGATGTCTTGAGATGTTGCTTCAATATATCCACATAATTTTCCTTCCTCATGATGCCATCTATTTTGTGAAGTGCACCAGTCCCTCCTGCAGCAAAGCACCCCCACAGCATGATGCTACGACCCCCGTGCTTCATGGTTGGGATGGTGTCCTTCGGCTTGCAAGCACCCCCTTTTTCCTCCAAACATAACGATGGTCATTATGGCCAAACAGTTCTATTTTTGTTTCATCAGACCAGAGGACATTTCTCCAAAAAGTACGATCTTTGTCCCCATGTGCAGTTGCAAACCGTAGTCTGGCTTTTTTATGGCAGTTTTGGAGCAGTGGCTTCTTCCTTGCTGAGCGGCCTTTCAGGTTATGTCGATATAGGACTCGTTTTACTGTGGATATAGATACTTTTGTACCTATTTCCTCCAGCATCTTCACAAGGTCCTTTGCTGTTGTTCTGGGATTGAGTTGCACTTTTCGCACCAAAGTACGTTCATCTCTAGGAGACAGAACGCGTCTCCTTCCTGAGCAGTATGACGGCTGCGTGGTCCCATGGTGTTTATACTTGCGTACTATTGTTTGTACAGATGAACATGGTACCTTCAGGCATTTGGAAATTGCTCCCAAGGATGAACCAGACTTGTGGAGGTCTACAATTTTTTTCGGAGGTCTTAGCTGATTTCTTTTGATTTTCCCATGATGTCAAGCAAAGACGCACTGAGTTTGAAGGTAGGCCTTAAAATACAGTGAGGAAAAAAAGTATTTGATCCCCTGCTGATTTTTACGTTTGCCCACTACAAAGAAATGATCAGTCTATAATTTTATTGGTAGGTTTATTTGAACAGTGAGAGACAGAATAACAACAAAAAAATCCTGAAAAACGCATGTCAAAAATGTTATAGATTGATTTGCATTTTAATGAGGGAAATAAGTATTTGACCCCCTCTCAATCAGAAAGATTTCTGGCTCCCAGGTGTCTTTTATACAGGTAACAAGCTGAGATTAGGAGCACACTCTTAAAGGGAGTGCTCCTAATCTCAGTTTGTTACCTGTATAAAAGACACCTGTCCACAGAAGCAATCAATCAATCAGATTCCAAACTCTCCACCATGGCCAAGACCAAAGAGCTCTCCAAGGATGTCAGGGACAAGATTGAAGACCTACACAAGGCTGGAATGGGCTACAAGACCATCACCAAGCAGCTTGGTGAGAAGGTGACAACAGTTGGTGCAATTATTCGCAAATGGAAGAAACACAAAATAACTGTCAATCTCCCTCGGCCTGGGGCTCCATGCAAGATCTCACCTCGTGGAGTTGCAATGATCATGAGAACGGTGAGAAATCAGCCCAGAACTACACGGGAGGATCTTGTCAATGATCTCAAGGCAGCTGGGACCATAGTCACCAAGAAAACAATTGGTAACACACTACGCCGTGAAGGACTGAAATCCTGCAGCGCCCGCAAGGTCCCCCTGTTCAAGAAAGCACATATACAGTGGGGGAAAAAAGTATTTAGTCAGCCACCAATTGTGCAAGTTCTCCCACTTAAAAATATGAGAGAGGCCTGTAATTTTCATCATAGGTACACGTCAACTATAACAGACAAAATGAGAAAAATAAATCCAGAAAATCACATTGTAGGATTTTTTAATGAATTTATTTGCAAATTATGGTGGAAAATAAGTATTTGGTCACCTACAAACAAGCAAGATTTCTGGCTCTCACAGACCTGTAACTTCTTCTTTAAGAGGCTCCTCTGTCCTCCACTCGTTACCTGTATTAATGGCACCTGTTTGAACTTGCTATCAGTATAAAAGACACCTGTCCACAACCTCAAACAGTGACACTCCAAACTCCACTATGGCCAAGACCAAAGAGCTGTCAAAGGACACCAGAAACAAAATTGTAGACCTGCACCAGGCTGGGAAGACTGAATCTGCAATAGGTAAGCAGCTTGGTTTGAAGAAATCAACTGTGGGAGCAATTATTAGGAAATGGAAGACATACAAGACCACTGATAATCTCCCTCGATCTGGGGCTCCACGCAAGATCTCACCCCGTGGGGTCCAAATGATCACAAGAACGGTGAGCAAAAATCCCAGACCCACACGGGGGCACCTAGTGAATGACCTGCAGAGAGCTGGGACCAAAGTAACAAAGCCTACCATCAGTAACACACTACGCCGCCAGGGACTCAAATCCTGCAGTGCCAGACGTGCCCCCCTGCTTAAGCCAGTACATGTCCAGGCCCGTCTGAAGCATTTGGATGATCCAGAAGAGGATTGGGAGAATGTCATATGGTCAGATGAAACCAAAATAGAACTTTTTGGTAAAAACTCAACTCGTCGTGTTTGGAGGACAAAGAATGCTGAGTTGCATCCAAAGAACACCATACCTACTGTGAAGCATGGGGGTTGAAACATCATGCTTTGGGGCTGTTTTTCTGCAAAGGGACCAGGACGACTGATCCGTGTAAAGGAAAGAATGAATGGGGCCATGTATCGTGAGATTGAGTGAAAACCTCCTTCCATCAGCAAGGGCATTGAAGATGAAACGTGGCTGGGTCTTTCAGCATGACAATGATCCCAAACACACCGCCCGGGCAACGAAGGCATGGCTTCGTAAGAAGCATTTCAAGGTCCTGGAGTGGCCTAGCCAGTCTCCAGATCTCAACCCCATAGAAAATCTTTGGAGGGAGTTGAAAGTCCGTGTTGCCCAGTGACAGTCCCAAAACATCACTGCTCTAGAGGAGATCTGCATGGAGGAATGGGCCAAAATACCAGCAACAGTGTGTGAAAACCTTGTGAAGACTTACAGAAAACGTTTGACCTGTGTCATTGCCAACAAAGGGTATATAACAAAGTATTGAGAAACTTTTGTTATTGACCAAATACTTATTTTCCACCATAATTTGCAAATAAATTCATAAAAAATCCTACAATGTGATTTTCTGGATTTTTTTTCTCATTTTGTCTGTCATAGTTGACGTGTACCTATGATGAAAATTACAGGCCTCTCTCATGTTTTTAAGTGGGAGAACTTGCACAATTGGTGGCTGACTAAATACTTTTTTTCCCCCACTGTACAGGCCCGTCTGAAGTTTGCCAATGAACATCTGAATGATTCAGAGGAGAACTGGGTGAAAGTGTTGTGGTCAGATGAGACCAAAATTGAGCTCTTTGCCATCAACTCAACTCGCCGTGTTTGGAGGAGGAGGAATGCTGCCTATGACCCCAAGAACACCATCCCCACCGTCAAACATGGAGGTGGAAACATTATGCTTTGGGTGTGTTTTCATGCTAAGGGGACAGGACAACTTCACCGCATCAAAGGGACGATGGACGGGGCCATGTACTGTCAAATCTTGGGTGAGAACCTCCTTCCCTCAGCCAGGGCATTGAAAATGGGTCGTGGATGGGTATTACAGCATGACAATGACCCAAACACACGGCCAAGGCAACAAAGGAGTGGCTCAAGAAGAAGCACATTAAGGTCCTGGTGTGGTGTGGCCTAGCCAGTCTCCAGACCTTCATCCCATAGAAAATCTGTGGAGGGTGCTGAAGGTTCGAGTTGTCAAACGTCAGGCTCGAAACCTTAATGACTTGGAGAAGATCTGCAAAGAGGAGTGGGACAAAATCCCTCCTGAGATGTGTGCAAACCTGGTGGCCAACTACAAGTGATTACTCTGTGATTGCCAACAAGGGTTTTGCCACCAAGTACTAAGTCATGTTTTGCAGAGGGGTCAAATACTTATTTCCCTCATTAAAATGTAAATCAATTCATAACATTTTTGACATGCGTTTTTCTGGATTTTTTTGTTGTTATTCTGTCTCTCACTGTTCAAATAAACGTACCATTAAAACTATAGACTGATCATGTCTTTGTCAGTGGACAAACGTACAAAATCAGCAGGGGCTCAAATACTTTTTTCCCCTCACTGCGTGTATGTATGTATGTATGTATGTATGTATGTATGTATGTATGTATGTATGTATGTATGTATGTATGTATGTATGTATGTATGTATGTATGTATGTATGTATGTATGTATGTATGTATGTATATTATATATATATATATATATATATATATATATATATATATATATATATATATACACAGTGGGGAGAACAAGTATTTGATACACTGCCTATTTTGCAGGTTTTCCTACTTACAAAGAATGTAGAGGTCGGTAATTTTTATCATAGGTACACTTCAACTGTGAGAGCCGGAATTCTTACTGGTTGGTAGGTGATCAAATACTTATGTCATGCAATAAAATGCAAATTAATTACTTAAAAATCATACAATGTGATTTTCTGGATTTTTTCAGTTGAAGTGTACCTATGATAAAAATTACAGACCTCTACATGCTTTGTAAGTAGGAAAACCTGCAAAATCGGCAGTGTATCAAATACTTGTTCTCCCCACTGTATATACACACACACACATATATATATATATATATATATATATATAAAAAAAATTCGCTCAGCTGTTTGTTGCTGCTGGAGTGAAACAGCTGCTTTAACAAGCCCAATAATTTACCAACAATTCCAAAGGAAATAGCATGTAAAAAATAAAATATGGGCACGATTAAAAGAGCTAAAAAAATTTTTTCTCAACTGGTAAATTGAAGTATGCTTCCCATTCGCCATTCAAGTGCATAGGCAACTAGGCAGGCTTAAGTGCGTCACACACCACTTTGCAATGTGCTGGAGACATACAGTATGACATACTGTATAAGCTGGAGACATATCCTGAACATTTTCCTACATATTATTGTAGCTCAGTTGGTAGAGCATGGCGCTTGCAACGCCAGGGTTGTGGGTTCGATTCCCACGGGGGGCCAGTATGGAAAATGTATGCACTCACTAACTAAGTCGCTCTGGATAAGAGCGTCTGCTAAATGACTAAAATGTAAATGTAAAAAATATTAATGAGGAATATCTTACCTTGCTTCAAAGTAGCTAGCTAGCAAAAATCTAACCTGCAGGGAATTATTTTATAAAGACTTCCATATGCCATTGAAAAAAGTAGCCTTTTTCTCGATTGGTTTTCAAATCAACTTTCTTTCATTGTCCAGTAGCCAAAGGCACAATCCTAGTCATATTAGCAACTCAATCTAGTTGTTGCATATTTATATATCCTCTCTATCACATGAAACTACTCACAATGGTGTTTTCCCACTAATTGCATTATGGAACGAACATTCGCGCGTAGCCTACTGCCTTGTGCACATTGCTGCTCTTATAATGTGAAGAAATAATAGTTCATCAACATTTTAAGCTAAACATTCTGATCTGTCGCATGAGCCTCATTGTTTTTTAACGTTTTCTGCATGTAGCCTATAGGCCTACTGGTTGGATGGATTTGGGATCTATCATACCACAACTGTCCCAGAGTCTGTTTGGGACAGGCTATTTAATTCTCGCACAGAATGACAAACTGACCAACAGAATAGGTAAACTTTTCTACTATGGGTGGGGATAGTAGATTGACATAGGTTAGTGATTTTACTGTTCGTTACTCGCCTTGTTGGCTGAGGAAAAGTAAATGTGGACAGTTATTCTAACATAGGCGGCGTGTGGGTTTCAAGTTTGGGGAAGCCATTTTCACCATAAAAATGCACCTTTATAATAAACCATTCCGTGCATCCTCGCATTTGCAGACGTATGTAAGAACCTACTATTCCTAATGTGATGATTAGACTGGATAGTCATAATTTAGGCTAATAATATAACTCAATCTCTGTTCGCAAAAAATACTATTCAATGCAGCACGTAGTGGCGTAGAGTAGGCCTAGGCTATTTCACAGGTAAATGTTGGCCTTTCATAAAAACATTTCATGCAATTCTACTACATTTTCTATGACTGGAGACTCTTTTTTAATACGACAAAAATTCAGTGGTGGAAAAAGTACCCAATTGTCATACTTCAGTCAAAGTAAAGATACAGTGCCTTCGGAAAGTATTTAGACCCCTTAACCTCCACAAGTTACAGCCTTATTTTAAAATTGATTTATTTTATTTTTTTATCCCTCATCAATCTACACACAATACCCCATAATGACAAAGCAAAAACAGGTTTTTATAACTCTTTGCTCATTTATTAAAAATAAAAAACTGAAATGTCAAATTTATATAAGTATTCAGGCCCTTTACTGGGTACTTTGTTGAAGCACCTTTGGCAGTGATTACAGCCTCGAGTCTTCTTGGGTATGACGCTACAAGCTTGGCACACCTGTATTTGGGGAGTTTCTCCCATTCTTCTCTGCTGGGCCACTCAAGGACATTCCTGCGTTGTCTTGGTTGTGTGCTTAGGGCCGTTGTCCTGTTGGAAGGTGAACCTTCATCATAGTCTGAGGCCCTGAGAGCTCTGGAGCAGGTTTTCATCAACGACCTCTCTGTACTTTGCTCCGTTCATCTTTGCCTCGATCCTGACTAGTCTCCCAGTCCCTGCCGCTGAAAAACATCGCCACAGCATTAGACTGCCACCACCATGCTTCACCGTAGGGATGGTGCCAGGTTTCCTCCTGATGTGATGCTTGGCATTCAGGCCAAAGAGTTCAATCTTGGTTTCATCAGACCAGAGAATCTTGTTTCTCATGGTCTGAGAGTCTTTAGGTGCCTTTGGCAAACTCCAAGTGGGCTGTCATGTGCCTTTTACTGAGGAGTGGCTTCCGTCTAGTCACTCTACCAAAAAGGCCTGATTGGTGGAGTGCTGCAGAGATGGTTGTCCTTCTGGAAGGTTCTCCCATCTCCACAGAGGAACTCTTGAGCTCTGTCAGAGTGACCATCGGGTTCTTGGTCACCTCCCTGACCAAGACCCTTCTCCCCCGATTGCTCAGTTTGGCCGGGCGGCCAGCTATAGGAAGAGTCTTGGTGGTTCCAAAATGCTTCCATTTAAGAATGATGGAGGCCACTGTGTTCTTGGGGACCTTCAATGCTGCAGACATTTTTTGGTACCCTTCACCAGATCTGTGCCTCGACACAATCCTGTCTCGGAGCTCTACGGACAATTCCTTCGACATCATGGCTTGGTTTTTGCTCTGACATGCACGGTCAACTGTGGGACCTTACATAGACAGGTGTGTGCCTTTCCAAATCATGTCCAATCAATTGAATTTACCACAGGTGGACTCCAATGAAGTTGTAGAAACATCTCAAGGATGATCAATGGAAACCTGAGGTCAATTTTGAGTCTCATAGCAAAGGGTCTGAATACTTACGTAAATAAGGTATTTGTTTTTGCATTGCAAACATTTTTAAAAATCTGTTTTCACTTTGTCATTATGGGGTATTGTGTGTAGATTGATGAGGAAAAATATGAATTTGATATATTTTAGAATAAGGCTGTAACGTAACAAAATGTGGAAAAAGTCAAGGGGTATGAATACATTCCGAATGCTATAGAAAATTACTAAAGTAAAAGTGAAAGTCACCCAGTAAAATACTACTTGAGTAAAAGTCTAAAAGTATTTGGTTTTAAACATACTTAAGTATCAAAAGTAAAAATCACTTCAAATTACTTCTATTAGGCAATCCAAACGGCACAATGTCCTTATTTTTTTTACGGATAGTCAAGGGCATACTCCAACACTAAGACATAATTTACAAATTAAGCATTTGTGTTTAGTGAGTCTGCCAGATCAGAGGCAGTAGGGATGACCAGGGATGTGTGTGAATTTGACCCTTTTCCTGTGCTGTTAAGCATTCAAAATGTAACGAGTACTTTTGGGTGTCAGGGAAAATGTATGGAGTAAAAAGTACATTATTTTCTTTAGGAATGTAGTGGAGTAAAAGTAAAAGTTGTCAAAAATATGAATAGTAAAGTACAGATACCTAAAACAACTACTTAAGTAGTACTTTAAAGTATTTTTACTTAAGTACTTTACACCACTGCAAAAATTACAGGGTAGCCTACTCTGGGCCTACGAAAAGGGGAGAAACAAATACAATGACGTCCATCTAACCTGGAGGAAGAAATTATTGTCCAAAAACATACAAAAGTGGCACTGACCCAATGATAAAGACTATGAATATGCACACTCACCGGGGATATGGCCGATGTTCTCCGCTGGTGCCAATAATATAGGCTTTTGCTCAATTAAGTTGAGAATTGTCATAATTAAAAAAGACAGATCGGAGTCTTTTCATTGTCTTCTATTTAGGCCTACAGCAATAGCCATTTCGCTTTCCAAACTGTTTTTCCGCGATTGCATTTTTAAATATTGCGATATACCTGGCTGGGTCTCTCTGCTCTTCACTGATAGTCGCAACTCAACAATAATTTATTTGATATTTGCCGCTCGCTCTGCCCAAATTGCAGGCCCCTCCGACTGTAGGCTATGCGATTTAAAACAATTCACAGCTTTTTCTTTTAAGAAGCTAATTATCCTCGGTGGCCAAATCATGCTTTCTGGTGTAGTAGCCCATTTTGAATGATTTTACTTATTTCTGTATAGACAGGAATAAGCTATTTAGGCTATACAGTGAGGGAAAAAAGTATTTGATCCCCTGCTGATTTTGTACGTTTGCCCACTGACAAAGACATGATCAGTCTATAATTTTAATGGTAGGTTTATTTGAACAGTGAGAGACAGAATAACAACAAAAAAATCCAGAAAAACACATGTCAAAAATGTTATAAATTAATTTGCATTTAATGAGGGAAATAAGTATTTGACCCCTCTGCAAAACATGACTTAGTACTTGGTGGCAAAACCCTTGTTGGCAATCACAGAGGTCAGACGTTTCTTGTAGTTGGCCACCAGGTTTGCACACATCTCAGGAGGGATTTTGTCCCACTTTGCAGATCTTCTCCAAGTCATTAAGGTTTCGAGCCTGACGTTTGGCAACTCGAACCTTCAGCTCCTTCCACAGATTTTCTATGGGATGAAGGTCTGGAGACTGGTTAGGCCACTCCAGGACCTTAATGTGCTTCTTCTTGAGCCACTCCTTTGTTGCCTTGGTCGGGTGTTTTGGGTAATTGTCATGCTGAAATACCCATCCACGACCCATTTTCAATGCCCTGGCTGAGGGAAGGAGGTTCTCACCCAAGATTTGACGGTACATGGCCCCGTCCATCGTCCCTTTGATGCGGTGAAGTTGTCCTGTCCCCTTAGCAGAAAAATACCCCCAAAGCATAATGTTTCCACCTCCATGTTTGACGGTGGGGATGGTGTTCTTGGGGTCATAGGCAGCATTCCTCCTCCTCCAAACACGGCGAGTTAAGTTGATGCCAAAGAGCTCGATTTTGGTCTCATCTGACCACAACACTTTCACCCAGTTCTCCTCTGAATCATTCAGATGTTCATTGGCAAACTTCAGACGGGCCTGTATATGTGCTTTCTTGAGCATGGGGGACCTTGCGGGCGCTGCAGGATTTCAGTCCTTCACGGCGTAGTGTGTTACCAATTGTTTTCTTGGTGACTATGGTCCCAGCTGCCTTGAGATCATTGACAAGATCCTCCCGTGTAGTTCTGGGCTGATTCCTCACCGTTCTCATGATCATTGCAACTCCACAAGGTTAGATCTTGCATGGAGCCCCAGGCCGAGGGAGATTGACAGTTCTTTTGTGTTTCTTCCATTTGCAAATAATCGCACCAACTGTTGTCACCTTCTCACCAAGCTGCTTGGCAATGGTCTTGTAGCCCATTCCAGCCTTGTGTAGGTCTACAATCTTGTCCCTGACATCCTTGGAGAGCTCTTTGGTCTTGGCCATGGTGGAGAGTTTGGAATCTGATTGATTGATTTATTGCTTCTGTGGACAGGTGTCTTTTATACAGGTAACAAGCTGAGAATAGGAGCACTCCCTTTAAGAGTGTACTCCTAATCTCAGCTCGTTACCTGTATAAAAGACACCTGGGAGCCAGAAATCTTTCTGATTGAGAAGGGGTCAAATACTTATTTTCCTCATTAAAATGCAAATCAATTTATAACATTTTTGAAATGTGTTTTTCTGGATTTATTTGTTGTTATTAAGTCTCTCACTGTTCAAATAAACCTACCATTAAAATTATAGACTGTTCATTTCTTTGTCAGTGGGCAAATTTACAAAATCAGCAGGGGATCAAATACTTTTTTCCCTTACTGTATAACTTTGACAATTTAATTACATTTACTTTAGGGAAAGATTAGCTTCCCCTAACCTTATGCATGCACCGCCTTTGTTTTGTAACATTTTCAAATTGCTCATCGGAATTCGGTAAGAATGACATTGCATCGGTGTTGCGTGTTCTGTTAAGATGAATTACCATAAACTAAATGTGATTTCTGGCATTCTGAGCACCTTGGGTGGATGCCCTAATCAGGTTGCGCAACCAATGCTACGGATCTGGTACATTTCTTAAATGTCCGGAAAATTATAATGATGCCAGTCAAATGTCCTGCGCCACATTTTCCTAATGGAAACCCTGGTGTGTGTGTGTGTACAGAGTTCTGTATATAGAGCCATTTTTTGTTTACAAGCAAACGTCACATTTGAGTGATTCACATGCATGCTCGCAACAAAAAGCCCTGTAGCAGATAGCTAGCTACAGTATACACTGATGTTAGGACCTTGACAAACTTACCAGTGAGTGACCATGAAAACACAAGGCTGATGGCTAAAGCTATGCTCAACAAGTATACTGAACAAATATATAAATGCAACATGCAACAGTTTCAATACTTTTACTGAGTTATAGTTCATATGAAGGAAATCAGTCAATTGAAATGAATTCATTAGGCCCTAATCTATGGATTTCACATGACTGGGCAGGGGCGCTGCCATGGGTGGGCATGGGGGAGCCACAACGTTGGAGGCGGTTTATGGTAGAGTAATTAACATTAAATTATCTGGCAACAGCTCTGGTGGACATTCCTACAGTGAATATGCTAATTGCACGCTCCCTCAAAACTTGAGACATCTGTGGCATTGTGTTGTGTGACAAAACTGCACATTTTAGAGTGGCCTTTTATTGTCCCCAGCACAAGGTGCACCTGTGTAATGATCATGCTGTTTAATCAGCTTCTTGATATAAAACACCTGTCAGGTGGACGGATTATCTTTGAAAAGGAGAAATGCTCACTAACAGGGATATAAACAAATCTGTGAACAACATTTGAGAGAAGCACGCTTTTTGTGCATATGGAAAATTTCTGGGATCTTTTATTTCAGCTCATGAAACATGGGACCAACACTTTACATGTTGCGTTTATATTTTTGTTCAGTATATATTATTCTTCCGGCTCTTTTTGTGATAATTTACCTTGCCTCGCTGGCTTACTAGGTAATCAATCCTCCGATGACATCTGCGATGTTGTAGTAGATGATAACCATCTGATTACTTGTTTGCTAACTTGCATGAGCTGCATCTAAAGTCGGATGTGATCATACTCGCTTCCATGTAAACAAACCAGTTTCTGATTCGGAACTGCACGCACAACTTTTCATGACGGGGTCGATATATGGTCTATAGCCTACTCAGTGTGTGCACTGAGATTTGACTACACTCACCCTTCCGGGGCGGATCCCGGCTCACCCTCCTCTTCATCAGACTCAGTCTCATCCGAATCATCTTCATCATCATCCTCCTCCTCTTCCTCATTCTCACTCAAGCCAAGCTGGCCGTTCCTTTGCTCCTTCTTTTTTGGCTGTCGGTGGTGGAACACAAAAGATAGTCATAAAATATCTATCTGACTCTCAGAATGTTTTGGAATAGATACAGTGGGGAAAAAAAGTATTTAGTCAGCCACCAATTGTGCAAGTTCTCCCACTTAAAAAGATGAGAGAGGCCTGTAATTTTCATCATAGGTACACGTCAACTATGACAGACAAAATGAGGAAAAAAAATCCAGAAAATCACATTGTAGGAATTTTAATGAATTTATTAGCAAATTATGGTGGAAAATAAGTATTTGGTCAATAACAAAAGTTTCTCAATACTTTGTTATATACCCTTTGTTGGCAATGACACAGGTCAAACGTTTTCTGTAAGTCTTCACAAGGTTTTCACACACTGTTGCTGGTATTTTGGCCCATTCCTCCATGCAGATCTCCTCTAGAGCAGTGATGTTTTGGGGCTGTCGCTGGGCAACACGGACTTTCAACTCCCTCCAAAGATTTTCTATGGGGTTGAGATCTGGAGACTGGCTAGGCCACTCTAGGACCTTGAAATGCTTCTTACGAAGCCACTCCTTCGTTGCCCGGGCGGTGTGTTTTGGATCATTGTCATGCTGAAAGACCCAGCCACGTTTCATCTTCAATGCCCTTGCTGATGGAAGGAGGTTTTCACTCAAAATCTCACGATACATGGCCCCATTCATTCTTTCCTTTACACAGATCAGTTGTCCTGGTCCCTTTGCAGAAAAACAGCCCCAAAGCATGATGTTTCCACCCCCATGCTTCACAGTAGGTATGGTGTTCTTTGGATGCAACTCAGCATTCTTTGTCCTCCAAACACGACGAGTTGAGTTTTTACCAAAAAGTTCTATTTTGGTTTCATCTGACCATATGACATTCTCCCAATCCTCTTCTGGATCATCCAAATGCACTCTAGTAAACTTCAGACGGGCCTGGACATGTACTGGCTTAAGCAGGGGGACATGTCTTTCACTGCAGGATTTGAGTCCCTGGAGGCGTAGTGTGTTACTGATGGTAGGCTTTGTTACTTTGGTCCCAGCTCTCTGCAGGTCATTCACTAGGTCCCCCCGTGTGGTTCTGGGATTTTTGCTCACCGTTCTTGTGATCATTTTGACCCCACGGGTGAGATCTTGCGTGGAGCCCCAGATCGAGGGAGATTATCAGTGGTCTTGTATGTCTTCCATTTCCTAATAATTGCTCCCACAGTTGATTTCTTCAAACCAAGCTGCTTACCTATTGCAGATTCAGTCTTCCCAGCCTGGTGCAGGTCTACAATTTTGTTTCTGGTGTCCTTTGACAGCTCTTTGGTCTTGGCCATAGTGGAGTTTGGAGTGTGACTGTTTGAGGTTGTGGACAGGTGTCTTTTATACTGATAACAAGTTCAAAGAGGTGCCATTAATACAGGTAACGAGTGGAGGACAGAGGAGCCTCTTAAAGAAGAAGTTACAGGTCTGTGAGAGCCAGAAATCTTGCTTGTTTGTAGGTGACCAAATACTTATTTTCCACCATAATTTGCTAATAAATTAATTTAAAATCCTACAATGTGATTTTCTGGATTTTTTTCCCTAAATTTGTCTGTCATAGTTGACGTGTACCTATGATGAAAATTACAGGCGTCTCTCATCTTTTTAAGTGGGAGAACTTGCACAATTGGTGGCTGACTAAATACTTTTTTCCCCCACTGTACATACTGTATTCTATTCTACTGTATTTTAGTTAATGCGTCTCCGACATTGCTTGTCCTAATATTTATATATTTCTTAATTCCATTATTTTACTTTTAGATTTGTGTGTATTGTTGTGAATTGTTAGATATTACTGCACTGTTGTAGCTAGGAACACAAGCATTTCGCTACACCCTCAATAACATCTGCTAAATATGTGTATGTGACCAATAAAATTTGATTTGATGATTTAGTTAGCTAAACTAACAAGTCTGTTTGGTTACCAAGGCAACTACTGTAGCGATGTAGTAAACTTGCTAGCTACTTCAGTGGCTGTTGAACACATTTCTAGCAGCAAATGTGTTAAATTATAGCCATGGTATAAATGGGATAATCAACTCGGGGCTCTATGCGTTCTCTGGGGAAATAATGTAACACCTTCCACGTCATCCATTATTTTCCATAGAATGCATAGCCCTTACATAATCACCTTTACGTCTTCTTCAAATTCATCACTGCTGTTGTTCGCCATTTCACGCAGAGGTCTGTTCTTCTTCCTTGAGACTTGTAATGGGGAGAAAGTTGAGATGTTAGCGATGAGGTGGAACAGTCGCAGCAGGGGTTGAACCAGCAGCAACCCTGTGCCGTGGCTATGGTGAGAGTGCACTACCACCTGACTGTGCCATAATAAAGGTCTATATATCTTTGATGAGGCCATAATGCATTAATGTCGGGGGGATGTCTCTATTTCTATGGATGCTACAGTGTCACTGAATTTATGTCCTCATCGGTCTAATAAATAACGTTAGCATCATACAATTTGCTTCTGAATTTGACTTTTAGTTAACTAGGTGACTTTTAATACCTGGTCTTCGTGGTGTCGGGGTGTACACACTGGCGATTTCCTCGTAGTCGTTTACCTCCAGGCTCTCGTCATAGGGCTGGTTAGTTATGAGCTTGGTCTGAAGAGGAGACAAATCACTTCATGACAACATGCAAACTAGCCTAAGAATGTAACATTACTGTTACGGACTCTAGGCTACATGCAAACTAGCTGGGCACGTTGGGTAGCTGGATAGCTAGCTAGCAAGTTAGCTAATGTAAGTTATGTGGCTTGAGTTGTTGGCAATGTTTGTTGGCAAGGCCACAGCAATTACATTTATATAAACCCTGTTAGCTAGCTAACGCGTTAGCTAGCATTGCCATAAAAGTTGGATACCATTGGCAAAACTAGCATAAAAGGAGGCATGCATGAAATACCAATTATGTACAGAAGAAGTGTGAACAATTATTTCGATTTGTGAAAGATAATCTGACTTTTTGGTTACCTTTTGTTTCTCTGCTCTATCCATGAAAGCCAGTGTACCGTCACCAAGGGATACAAAGTATCGCGATGCCACGCTGTGTTAGCTCTCTTGGAGAGGGGTTAGAAACGGGAAATTGTACCACAAATTGTATACAAATCTTAGCTGTACCACAGGAGGTTGGTGGCACCTTAATTGGGGAGGACGGGCTCCTGATAATGGCTGGAGCAGTATGAGTGGAATGGTATGAAATACATCAAACACATGGTTTCCATGTGTTTGATGCCATTCCATACCCTCCATTCCAGCCATTATTATGAGCCATCCTTCTCTCAGCAAACTCCACTGAGCTGTACCATAACTTGTATATAAAACAGTCACACAATGATTACACAGACCATTGACTTGAATATATGTGCACATTTATTTAGATAAGCACAAAAAAATTTCAACAAGATCATTTATGTGATCTAGAATTTTAAGCATATTACATGTAGCTAGTTCATTAATTATTCAGGTAATGTGCAGGTCAAATCTATATACAACATAAATGAATTGATACGAAGACATTACAGAATCACAGGTTGATTGCACACTATCTAGGCAAAATGTCTCACTAGCCACAACATGCACATTTCTGGCCATCACCTTGAAGAGAAGTGTATTAAAGACATTAATAATGATGTTTGGGGGTAGCCAAATTCAGACTTTAAGTGTGAGATGGACTACATTTCTATAAGTAAGGGATAATCAACGAGGGGCTATGCGTTCTCTGGAAAATAATGAACGATGTGGAAGGTATGTTCCACTATGCACTAGCTGAGTGGAACTGACCGTCCATGGAGTTGCATTATTTTCCAGAGACCGCATAGCCCCTCGTTGATTATCCCATTTAAACCGTGGCTATAATTGAACACGTTTGCCACTAGAAATGTGTTGGTAGAAATGTGTTCAATGTCCACTGAAGTACCTAGCAAGTTTACTAGATAGCCACAGTAGTTGCCATGGTAACCAAGCACACAGACTTGCTAGTTTCGCTAACCAAACCATCAGTCCTAGCTTGCTATTATGAAAATCAAATTCAACAATGCCAATGTTTTCAATTCTACTTTTGGTTTCAAAAGCAGCTCATACAAAACATGTAAGAATGAACTATAGCCATTGAATTCTACCGTGCTGATATACTTTTATTATAGGGAAATAATGCACGCTCTAGAATGCCCTTCAAGCCAATCAGAAACGAGTATTCAACAATGCCATGGTATAAAACCCAAACATGACACATCCCATAGAGAAAAATACATGCACACCGCATTTGGAGAAGGCACAACAAGGAATAAAATGCAACTGTCTGTGCACTCCCAGTATGCATCAATAAGCCACATTTCTTTATGTCAAGAGTAAGTCTTCTTTTATAAAATACAAATTCTAACTTCGTTAAGTTTGCTAATTACAACAGAGTGCTCAAAGACATACAATACACATAAATCAAGTGCATAAAACAATAATCCATCCAACTACCTTACATTCTTCTGAACCTCTGTGCTTAGACCAGGGTTGTGTTTATTAGGTGCCAAATGGAAGAAAACAGGGACTACCTGTACAATAAGAAATTATCACATTCATTGCCCGTTGCAAAAACATTTTCCGTTATTTCACCTAATAAACACAACCCAGATGCACAGACGTGTTAAGTAACATGCATCAGAACATGATCACACATAGAAACAGAACCTAGCAACACATCTCTTACTGGTGTTGCGACAGGAGCCTGACTGATTCATCTTGACTAAATATTGTGTGGCATCCTGAACTATAGAACAAAGCACTATGGGTCAGGGTCCCCATTGAACAGAAGAGGGTCTGCTGCTCTGCAACTGGGTATAGTAGTTACTTTTTAGCTTGAGCAGCAGACAGCACAACACAGAACCTAAGGGCTTTTCACACAACTGAGTTGAACCAAGCCGAGCCAAACAAACCAAACGTGCTAAAAAGGACAATCTGAAAAGAAACTATCCGAGCCAGCCCAGTTTGGGTCAGCATGATAGTGTGAAAAGGGTAATAGTGTAGGGTTGCAAGCCGTTGTGTCCATTGTGCCCTATGGCCCTCAAGTGTTCCTCTTGGTGTGGATGAGTAGGTCCCTCTGCAGGTCTGCCTCCAGGCTTCCCGCCCCCACCTTGCTGCCCGGGGGGTCAGTGACCAGGGTCAGCTTGTTGAACACCCCACGGCCAAAGTAGTCTGCCACCACGGAAAAACCGTCATTGGAGCAGCGCAGCTGAAATGCATAGAAATAAGTGAGCCAGGATAGAGAAGTGATAGCCTACACATCAGTTCTGAAAAAAAGATGGAGATCTTTTCTCTTATACTAGTGAAGTTTATATTGATCTTTGGACATGATAGATTAAGTGTTGCACTATTACTACGTCTTATTGAATGACTTTTGACTACTATAGTATACAAAATGTTGTTGTAGTTTCAAGTCATGTGCCAATAAAACATACTTGAACACAAAAGAGAGAGCGAGGGAGAGAAAGGCAAGCAAAGAGGGTATTTACACTTTAGTCAGCCCCCTCAGCAGTTACCACAAAAGATAAAACACACAACAAACAAAAGAAGAACGTGGAGTGACTAGGGCTGTCTGTGTGTGTTTCACCTGTCTGGTGAAGTGGTCGTGCAGATCTCGTTTCTGGTCCTGGGCACGCAGCATGTCCATGACCTTGCGGTTTTCCGGTGTGCAGGTGGGACACTCGGCCTCACTCTCGGCGTAGCTCTCAAAGCAGTGCTGGTGGAAGGAGTGACTGCACAGGAAGTGAACAGAGGGCAGCTCGAGGGGGCTGTTGCACATGCTGCACTTGGTCTTCTGGAAAATCTTTGCGCTGTGAGTGAGTGAGAAAAGAAGGACAGAGAGAAACAAGAAAAAACATCAAAATCAGTACAGTTTCAATTAATGGTCTTCGTGCGGTCAAATCGAGCACTCAAAATACAGGGCTTGACATTACATTTTTTTGCCTCTTGTCCTTTGGACAAGTAGGACAGATTTTTTACTTGTCCGAAAGCTCAAGTCACTTGTCCCCCCAAGAAAAGGTCTGTAAGACCATCGGCCAAAAAGGTGACAAAATTGTGTTGTATGATGCAAGGAACCACTTCACAAAATAAAAATCATAATTATCACTGGTATTGACAATAGAAGGCTACTGGTCTCTGATCCCATGTATTATATCGCCTGCCGGTGTGGCCTTGAGCAAGGCACTTAACCCCACATAAAGTAAAATACTGCACTGATAGGCTACTGTATATAACCCCCCATCTGGAGCACTACTGGGTGTGCAGGATTTTGATCCAACCCTGCAGGGCTGAAGCAAAAGCCTGCACACCCAGTAGCTCTCCTGGACTTCCCTGGAGGATTGTTGGCCACCCTGCAACATTACAATTACAACCAAATACTGTTTGTCTTTATAAAACAATTCCCTCATTTAATGAACCAGGGATCAAATGGCTAAGGTGGGCAACTTCAAAGCAAGGTAGCTAACTAAGACATTTTTATCTATACTGAACAAAAATATGAACGCAACATGTAAAGTGTTGGTCCCATGTTCCATGAGCTGAAATAAAAGATCTCAGAAATGTTCCACACGCACAAAAAGCTTATTTCTCTCAAATTGTGCACAAATTTGTTTACATCCCTATTAGTGAGCATTTCTCCTTTGCCAAGATAATCCATCCACCTGACAGATGTGGCATATCAAGAAGCTGATTAAACAGCATGATCAATAAAAAGGTGCACCTTGTGCTGGGGACAATAAAAGGCCACTAAAATGTGCAGTATTGTCACACAACACAATGCCACAGACGTCTCATGTTGAGGGAGTGCACAATTGGCATGCTGACTGCAGGAATGTCCACCAGAGCTGTTGCCAGAGAATTGAATGTTCATTTCTCTACCATAAGCCGCCTCCGTCGTTTTAGAGAATTTGGCAGTATGTCCAACCGGCCTCACAACCGCAGACCACGTGTAACAACGCCAGCCCAGAACCTCCACATCTAGCTTCTTCACCTGCGGGATCATCTGAGACCAGCCACCCGGACAGCTGATGAAACTGAGAAGCATTTCTGTCTGTAATAAAGCCCTTTTGTGGGGAAAAACTCATTCTGATTGGCTGTGTCTGGCTCCCCAGTGGATGGGCATATGCCCTCCCATGTCCATCAATGGCTGCGCCCCTGCCCAGTCATGTGAAATCCACAGATTAGGGCCTAATTAATGTATTTCAAATCGACTGATTTTCTTATATTTACATTTACATTTTAGTCATTTAGCAGACGCTCTTATCCAGAGCGACTTACAGTTAGTGAGTGCATACATTTTTTATATGTACTGTAACTCAGTAAAATCGTTGAAATTGTTGCATGTTGCATTTATATTTATATTTTTGTTCAGTATATTTATAAGGCTAGAATATAACGTTTTCAATGGAGACCTTGACAGCATAGGAGTTTCTTGTCAATGAGGCTTTAATTTGATTTTTTATGCACTTTTTTACCCCTTTTTCTCCCCAATTTCGTGATATCCAATTGTCTTGTCCATCGCTGCAACTCCCCTACGGACTCGGCAGAGGCGAAGGTCGAGAGCCATGCGTCCTCCGAAACACAACCCTGCCAAGCCGCACTGCTTCTTAACACACTGCTCGTTTACCCAGAAGCCAGACGCACCAGAGGAAACACCGTCCAACTGGCGACCGAAGTCAGCTTGCAGGCGCCCCGCCCGCCACAAGGAGTCGGTAGAGCGTGATGGGACAAAGAAATCCTGGCCGGCTAAACCCTCCCCTAACGACGCTGGGCCAATTGTGCGCCGCCTCATGGGTCTCCCGGTCACAGCCGGCTGTGACACAGCCTGGGATCGAACCCAGGGCTGTAGTGACACCTCAAGCACTGCGATGCAGTGCCTTAGACCGCTGCGCCACTCGGGAGGCCAATTAGGCTATTCTATATTTTTGTCCGAAGTAAATGGCCCATATTGAATAGAGGAGAATGCCTGCTTTCCAACAGTGTCAGAACTATTTTTCAACATCCAATTGTGAGAGCTTGAGAGATGGTTTTACAACCGGAGTATGCAGCATTGGTTTCATCAACTGTGCACCCGTATCAACTGCGTGTCGGCCATTTGTAGTTATACACTAGTGCCGGTGGAAAGATTTTTAGGACACCGGACATGACAATTACATTAATATATGCAAATAGCTAAATAGCGAAAATGTAAAGCATATTTTGTAGTTTGGCTGGTTATCTAGTTAGTCTGTTGTATACCAATATTTTACCTGCTGCTGCAATATCTCTTTCTCCTCTGGCAACGGCCCACTCGCACTGGCACACACTCAGGTGATGCATACACCATGTCTTTTCCAGGATTTTCTGTGTTGACCAAAAATGGGCAACAACTGGGCAAATAACTCACTAACTAGCAATGAATATCAACTCACTTTGGTCAACAACAAAAAAAGACTGCTCGTGCCGGTCAATGCAGGTCTACAATAATTATACTCCGATGCACTCTGCAGAGATTGGGAGGACAGTGCGCAACACATCGCATCTGGAGGACACTTTGACCCAAATGTGATCGTAGTAACCTAATTGTTTGTCATTGTGATTTTTGAGTGTTGTTTTTTTTTACTATCTATCTGCTTGCCCCAAAAAAAATGTTTCTTGCCCCGGGCAAGCGGACAAGCGTTAATGTGGAGCCCTGTACAGTACAAAAAAAGTATTATATGTCTCCCGAGTGGCGCAGTGGTCTAAGGCACTGCATCGCAGTGCTAACTGTGCCACTAGAGATCCTGGTTCGAATCCAGGCTCTGTCGCAGCCGGCCGCGACCAGGAGACTCATGGGCGGCGCACAATTGGCCCAGCGTCGTCCAGGGTAGGGGAGGGAATGGCCGGCAGGGATGTAGCTCAGTTGATAGAGCATGGCGTTTGCAACGCCAGGGTTGTGGGTTCGATTCCCACGGGGGGCCAGTATAAAAAAAATATATATATGTATTCACTAACTGTAAGTCGCTCTGGATAAGAGCGTCTGCTAAATGACTAAAATGTAAATGTAAATGTAATTATGAATTCAGTCCAATTTAAATCTAAGGGCAGCCATCAAACAAACAGATTGTGTTTGTGTTTCTTAGACACTTCTCACCCCTTATAGATGCCAAAATAACTGGATAGATGGATGGAACATGGAGGAAACTCACACTTGTGAACAGGACCCAGCTCTAGGGGATAGGGGTTGTTTTAGGACTGGACTTTGGCTCAGATTGTCCTGTCCCTCACCTGCTTCTGAGTTCCTGGATCTCGGCGCGGAGGTGGGCCGTTTCCTCACGGTACTGGCGGATCTTGCGCTCGTCGTCCTCGATCTGCTGGCTCTCCCTCTGCAGCTTGTTGATCAGGTAGTCCTTGATGACCGACAGCGTGGCCGTGGAGTTGTGTGCCAGCGTCTGCACCACTGTGGACCAACACGTGCATAGACATGCATACACACACACACACAACTTAGCAACAGTGCCCAATAAAATTATCCCATGCTCTGCTATAATGCTCCAAGTACTTTTCTTATGAGCATATACAGTGCCTTCAGAAAGAATTCATACCCCAAAGACTTATTCCACATTTGGTTGTGTTACAGCCTGAACTCAAAATGGATTAAATAGATTTTTGTTAATTGCTTTGCCACATTTTTAGCAGTATTACTTTAGTGCCTTGTTGCAAACAGGATGCATATTTTGGAATATTTTTATTCTGTACAGGCTTCCTTCTTCTCACTGTCAATTAGGTTAGTTTTGTGGAGTAACTTCAATGTTGTTGATCCATCTTCAGTTTTCTATCATGGCCATTAAACTCTAACTGTTTTAAAGTCACCAATGGCCTCATGGTAAAATCCCTGAGCGGTTTCCTTCCTCTCCGGCAACTGAGTTAGGAAGGCCGCCTGTATTGATACACCATCCAAAGTTAAACGAATAAGTTAAAAGGGATATTCGAAGTCTCCTTTTTTCTTTTTTTTACCCATCTACCAATAGGTGCCCTTCTTTGTAAGGCATTGGAAAACCTCCCTGGTTAAATCTGTGTTTGAAATTCACTGCTCGACTGAGGGACCTTACAGATAATTGTATGTATGGGGTACAGAGATAAGGTAGTCATTCAAAAATCATAATAAACACTATTATTGCACACAGAGTTAGTACATGCAACTTGTGACTTTTATTTAGGCTTGCCATAACAAAGGGGTTGAATACTTATCGACTCAAGACACTTCAGCTTTCAATTTTTATTAATTAGTTTTAAAAAAGTATTCCACTTTGACATTAAATCGGGTATTGTATGTAGGCCAGTGACAAAAAAAAATCTACATTTAATCAATTTTCAATTCAGGCTTTAACAACAAAATGTGGAAAAAGTCAAGGGGTGTGAATGCTTTCTGAAGGCACTGTAGTTTCACTTAACCCAACAACTGGCAAGTTTATCATGGATGTGCGCGTGTGACGTCAAAATAGAACTGAACACTTGCCAGTGAGACATTCAATGACAGGAAGGAAGTGGAGGCAAAAGACTGCAAAGAACGTTTGAGTTTATTTTAAGTTGGTGAGGTCTAGGGCTTTGGCGGTCACGACATTTTGTCAGCCGGTGATTGTCAAGCAAATAACAGTTGGTCTCACGGTAATTGACCGTTACTTAACATAAACACAATTAGCATCTCCTGGCTTCCACACATAGCCTACAAGACACTGATGCTGACATCTACATTTAAAAAAGTCTAATAAATCCATGTAATATAGCCTACACCTTCACAATAAATCCATTATTTATTTTAGACAGGTCTAAAGAAGCATGAGATGAAGAAAATGTAGTCTATTTCAGAAGAACAGAATAGCATACTCTGAGTTGTCCTTATGTTAGGTCCTGGTGTGGCTATGCCATATGGCTATGGGCTACACTAGTTCATTTAGCAGACAAGATTTGCTTAGAATTCCGTGGCATTATTTTATAGTATGAAGAATACAATTGAACACAGCAGAATAAAATATAAATATTTTCTCCAAACAATTTGAGGGAGTGCGCACATGCGGCTATTCTGTGTTGAGCGGTTAACAAAGAAATCGGTACTCCATGCCTTGTTGTGCCCTTCTCCCTGAGTGCGCGCTCTGAAGCACTGACTGAGTGCTGCGCACTCTCCATCACGTGATCAGGTCTTTCTCACAGGCTACAAGTGAAGACAGCAGACATCGGGGATTCAACTTCGCGTGTCCTTATCCAATTCCGAGGTGCATATTGAAGATATTGGAAGAACTGTCCACATTTACTTTTCGTCAGCCAACAAGATGAGTAGGCCTAACGAACAGCAAAAGCACTCGCCTATGTCAATCTACTATCCCCCATATTACAAAAGTCGACCTATTCTATTCTGTGCCAGAAATAAATATTCCAAACATAGTCTGGGACAGTTGTGGGATGCAAATTAATACAACCACTAGCATTAAAAATATATATATATGCAATGTGGCTGACGCAACAGATCAGAACATTTAGCTTAAAATGTTGATAAACTATTAGGCTATTTCTTCACATTATAAGCACAGCAATGCGCACATCGCATTAAGCTATAAGCGGGAATGTTCCATTAGCGGGAAAACACCATTATCAAAAGTGATCGCAAATGCGATTATGCATTTAATGCTTTTATTATAAAGGTGCATTTTTATGGTGAAAATTATCTTCCCCAAACTTGAAACTTATGCGCTGCTTATGTATGGCAGTTAGGCTCTAAACCCTGTGTAAAGTGGATGAATGTGCTTAATTTTAAGAAAATGTTGGGCCACTTTAGTTGTGATACAAACCTTATCAAAACATATAGGCCTATGGGCTTGGCTACGTGAGGTGTGCAACTATGATTAGAAAAAGTCGCCAAAATAAAAGCTTTCTTATGCTGCCCATCATTCACAAGAGATGATATATAATTCACAAGTGATAGGCTAATATTGTCACCCATCAGACTATTCTTGATTTAATCTTGTCTTTAAATATACTAAATCATATATGTGTGAAATTTGTTTTCCTTTAGAACGGACCATTATCATGAACCTGTATCGAAACAGGGGCAGCTGGAACAAATACATGTCATCTATGCACTTAAATAGCGGATGGAGGACACTTTTCCTGTGATTCATTTTCATGCCAGCCAGGTAGGCTATACTCATTTACATTTAAGTCATTTAGCAGACGCTCTTATCCAGAGCGACTTACAGTTAGTGAGTGCATAAATTTTTTATACTGGAATCGAACCCACAACCCTGGCGTTGCAAATGCCATGCTCTACCAACTGAGCTACATCCCTGCCGGCCATTCCCTCCCCTACCCTGGACAACGCTGGGCCAATTGTGCGCCGCCCCATGGGTCTCCCGGTCGCGGCCGGCTACGACAGAGCCTGGATTCGAACCAGGAGCTCTAGTGGCACAGCTAGCACTGCGATGCAGTGCCTTAGACCACTGCGCCACTCAGGAGGACACTGCCCCACTCAGGAGAGAAGCTTAATATTAGGAAAGTTGAGAAATAAATATAGTAGGCCTAGCCTATAGAAAGTGGAGGCCATCACTCTGTATTCTCACGCAATTGCATAGCCTATAGAAATGTTGTGCAACATGAGCTCATGGGCTCTCATGAAGTTTTTGATTCGATTTTCGAATACATTTGCATTGATGTCAGAGTGATTAGAGGGACAATAGAGTGCTGAGTACCAGGCAGTTAGCAAGTTTGGTAGGCTACTAATGACCATGAGCAGCATCGGAGCTTGGAGAAGCCTAATTACCGTGACTAAACGGTCATGTGGAATTTGACTGCCTTCATGACTTGTGACCGCCGGTGTGGCGGTAATACAGTCACCGCAACAGCCCTAGTGAAGTCTGATATAATTCAGGCAGTGACAAGTAGGCAAATCCCTACAGAAAGCCCCAGAGTCTTCATCTACAGGGATGGAGAAATACAGAGAAAAACCGCAAATATAGCCACTGGCTCACGCTCACCCAATAGGGGAGGCATCAGGTTGTTCTGGTCGATGTGCTGCAGGACTTGGCTGATGTAGGCCTTGCAGTCCTCCTCTTTGCGGGCAAAGTATCCCAGCGCCTGCTCCCACAAGCACACTTCCTGGTCGCCGTAGCGCTTGCAGGCCTCCACCACTTTGCCGTACTCCTCATTCTGCATGTGGTAGTGCATAATCTGCTGGTACCTAGAGAGAGGGACATCATCAACAATATCATTCAAATTACATAATTGACTAAATCAGTACATACCAATGAAGTCTCCAAAGTCCAGTGGTGTAAAGTACTTAAGTAAAAATACTTTAAAGTACTACTTAAGTAATTGTTTTGGCTATCTGTACTTTACTATTTTTGACAACTTTTCCTTCACTACATTCCTATAGAAAAGAATGTACTTTTTACTCCATACATTTTCCCTGACACCCAAAAGTACTCATTACATTTTGAATACTTAGCAGGACAGGAAATGATGGCGTCTGGTTTGCTTAATATAAGGATTTTGAAATGATTTATAATTTTACTTTTGAAAACGTAAGTATATTTTAGCAATTACATTTACTTTTGATACTTAACATTTCAAACCAAATACTTTTAGACTTTTACTCAAGTAGTATTTTACTGGGTGACTTTCACTTTTACTTGAGTCATTTTCTATTAAAGGTATCTTTACTTTACTCAAGTATGACAATTGGGTACTTGTTCACTCTCCCTCATGGACTTTAAAAGCATTGGATCTGGATGTTAAATGGAAGACACTCAGGCTACATCAACCCCACGGTTTTAAATCCACTAGGGGGAGTGAACGAGTACACACTCAGGGAGAAGTAGAAATATTGGAATTGGGCTCATGTGTTTCTGACTGGAGAAGTTTAGAGACAGGAATACTCACAGCTTGCCCTTCTCATAGAGGTACAGGACCCCTTCTTTGAAGTTGTGCATCTGGCACAGGACGAGGGCCTTGTCAAATACGGTGTTGTCGCTCCGCAGCAAGGACAGTGCTGCCCCCTGCAGGACCTTCTTCCTCTGCCAGACAAAATAGAAAGCGCACAGTCAGACAGACCAGACAAAACCAAACATTTGATACTCCAGACAAAAAGGTATTCTGAAAATGTAATAAAAAATTATTTAGGCTGCAAGTATGTCATCTAATATGTAACATTTGTATATCTACACTACCGGTCAAAAGTTTTAGAACACCTACTCATTCAAGGGTTTTTGTTTCTTTTTACTATTTTCTTCATTGTAGAATAATAGTGAAGACATCAAAACTATGAAATAACACATATGGAATCATATAGTCAACAAAAAAGTGTTAAACAAATCAAAATATATGTTATATTTGAGATTCTTCAAATAGCCACCCTTTGCCTTGATGACATCTTTGCACACTCTTGGCATTCTCTCAACCAGCTTCATGAGGTAGTCACCTGGAATGCATTTCAATTAACAGGTGTGCCTTCTTAAAAGTTAATTTGTGGAATTTATTTCCTTCTTAATGCCTTTGAGCCAATCAGTTGTGTTGTGACAAGGTAGGGGGGGTATACAGAAGATAGCCCTATTTGGTAAAAGACCAAGTCCATATTATGGCAAGAACAGCTCAAATAAGCAAAGAGAAACGACAGTCCATCATTACCTTAAGACATGAAGGTCAGTCAATCTGGAACATGTCAAGAACTTTGAAAGTTTCTTCAAGTGCAGTCGCAAAAACCATCAAGCGCTATGATGAAACTGGCACTCCTGAGGACCGCCACAGGAATGAAAGACCCAGAGTTACCTCTGCTGCAGAGGATAAGTTCATTAGAGTTACCAGCCTCAGAAATTGCAGCCCAAATAAATGCTTCACAGAGTTCAAGTAACAGACACATCTCAACATCAACTGTTCAGAGGAGACTGTGTGAATCAGGCCTTCATGGTCGAATTGCTGCAAAGAAACCACTACTAAAGGACACCAATAAGAAGAAGAGACTTGCTTGGGCCAAGAAACACGAGCAATGGACATTAGACCGGTGGAAATTTGTTGGTTCCAACCGCCGTGTCTTTATGAGACGCGGTGTGGGTGAACGGATGATCTCCACATGTGTGGTTCCCACCGGGAAGCATGGAGGAGGTGTCATGGTGTGGGGGTGCTTTGCTGGTGACACTGTCAGTGATTTATTTAGAATTCAAGTCACATGCTGGTTAAGTGTGCCTTGAATTCTAAATAAATCACTGACAGTGTCACCAGCAAAGCACCCCCACACCATGACACCTCCTCCATGCTTCCCGGTGGGAACCACACATGTGGAGATCATCCGTTCACCCACACCGCGTCTCATAAAGACACGGCGGTTGGAACCAAAAATCTCAAATTTGGACTCTAGACCAGCATTCTGCAGCGATATGCCAACACATCTGGTTTGGGTTTAGTGGGACTATAATTTGTTTTTCAACAGGACAATGACCCAACACACCTCCAGGCTGTGTAAGGGCTATTTTACCAAAAAGGAGAGTGATGGAGTGCTGCATCAGATGACCTGGCGTCCACAATCCCCCTACTTCAACTAAATTGAGATGGTTTGGGATGAGCCGGACCGCAGAGTGAAGGAAAAGCAGCCAACAAGTGCTCAGAACATGTGGGGACTCATTCAAGACTGTTGGAAAAGCATTCCAAGTGAAGCTGGTTGAGAGAATGCCAAGAGTGTGCAAATCTGTCATCAAGGCAAAGGGCGGCTATTTGAATAATCTCAAATTTAAATTATATTAACACTTTTTTGGTTATTTTATGATTCCATATGTGTTATTTCATAGTTTTGATGTCTTCACTATTATTATTCAATGTAGAAAATAGTAAAAATAAAGAAAAAGCCTGGAATGAATAGGTGTTCTAAAACTTTTGACCGGTATTGTATGTGAGTTTAGGTTGTTTGAGTAAACACGTGGCAGTTTTTTGTACAAATACTTGTGTGTGTGTGTTCCTATCACCTCAGAGTCTTGTTCATGTGCCCAGTCCTGCAGCCGTAGTTCTAGCAGTGTGTCATACACCCCCTGAGAGGAGAAAGGCTCCACCTCGATCATGTGCTCCAGGAAGGCCCTTAGCTCCCGCGGGTTATTAGCAAACACAGAGATGAACTCCTCTGAATTTGCCTGGGAGATAAAGAGGAGTACAGTGAGTAGTGCTATTACTATTACCACCATTATAACCATGATACATTTTATCATCATTGTATCATCATTACCATTAGAAGTAGTACCATATTACACGTAATTGATAAAGCCATTTTAATTAGAGAAAGGATCTCAAGTCCAAAGTGCTAATGCTGCTAGACTAGTGTTGCTAGGACTAATGTGCTAGACTTTGTGTTCGGCTGCCCGGGAGGTGTGGCCGCCATTTAAGGTTAACCGCTAACGGCTAAACGGCTGACCTTCTTGGCCACCGCCGGGCCTCTGTCCAGGCTGTCTCTTTCCATGGCATCCCGGCTGGGCTGGTAGTCGGTACACAGGCCCTTGAGAAGCAGTGTGGTGCCATCAGGGACGTGGTGCATCAGGGTCTTGCCGTAGCGCTTCATGTTGCTCTCTGCCTGCTCGAAAGGAAGTCTTCCAATGTAGCGCAAAGCCTCCTGGTAGTTCTGTATGGAACATAAAGAGAGACAAAGGGGTTTGAATTTCAGTAAAGGGTCGTTCAAATCGGGTTGACTTTACCCAAGGGTAGGAGAAGCTCTTTGTCCAATTATAATCATCAATAGTCAAATGTGTTTATTCACTCTAAAAGTGACAAATGTTTAAACTATCCTTAATGTAGATTTTGACTCAGTAATCTAAATACAATCAAATGACATTGCTGCTCATTTCAATATTGTCCAACAGCCTGAAACGGACTCGAAGCTCATCTATCTTATTTTTATCAGGGACAAGATTAAGAGATCTGGCAGTTAGGTCATGTAAGCTAGGGGGGACCCGGTGTCTATTTATCTAGCCCAGACGGCTCATCTTAACACTACTACATCCAGTATTACTTTCTAATCTCTTTCACCTTTAGGTCCTCAAGCTGGATCTTCAGGTACCACTCGTGGTGCTGGTGCCTCTCGGCCAGGAAGACTGCGTGACTGTGGTAGCCTGCCTGCCGCAGCACCTTGATGGCGATCTCCACGTCGAAGTGGACCTCGCTCTCGCTGCTCTGAAGGGGGTCGAAGGGGAAAGGAAATGTCAGAGCATTGAGACCTTATGTGCATGATGTCATACATACAGTATCTGTGGATTCATTGTCTATATCCATACAGTAATATGTTTTCTATCATCACTTTCTAATCCAAAATGGTATTCTGAATCCCTGGAATCCTTCTCAGGGCAATGATTATGATCCTGGAGAGCTACTATGTGTGTATGCTTTTGTTCCAGGCCATCACTAACACATCTGCTTCAACTACTCCCAGACTTTAGTCTGGACCATGATTATCTGAAGCCCCGGAATGAAAACCTGCACACACAGTTAACTCCCCTGGACCAGAGTTGGAGACCAACACTTGGTTTACAGTTTAAATGTTAACCTTGATGAACTCTTCAAGCTTAGAGCTGTCCTTGAGCTTGGTGTAGCAGTTGAGCAGCAGGGTGGTGTGGTCGGCGTTGGCCAGCGACTGCCGGTGCAGGGCCTGCAGGTAGGCCGTCAGGTTGTGGATCCGCTGAGCATCCAGAAACTTTCGGATTACATAAGAGGGCTCCAGCTTCTTGATTGTGCTGAGGGAGGGAGGGGAATTTTTGAACTTTTGCTGTTGAAAAGCAATATCCCAGGTATAAATACAGTAAAGTACATACACTAAAGTGTAAAAATAATATGTTTTGTGCTATGTCATGACACCTGGACCACCTATTGAAATGTGCCTTTTGTTGAGTAAATCAGGTGTTAAATTAGGTGAAAATGAGACTGGAGTGCCACTTTATAACAATAACCAAGTGGTTTCAATAGAAATTGACCACTGGTCACATTTACTGCGTGCCACCAAAGATACACTACAAAGTGAATATATATTATACATTTCCTTATTGATGTTATACAATCCCACCTCTATAGGATTACTTGTCTGTAAAATCAGCATTTATGACATGAACTTTAAGAGTCTTTGGGGTTTACAAAAACAGTATATAAATCATATATATGTATTATTATTACCGTATTTTCCGCACTATAAGGCGCACCGGATTATAAGGCGCACCTTCAATGAATGGCCTATTTTAGAACTGTTTTCATATATAGGGCGCACCGGATTATAAAGCGCATAGAATAGAAGATACTGCAGTCAAACGTTTGACTGGGGTTGCGTTATGCATCCACTAGATGGAGCTGTGCTAAAGGGAATGTCAACAAAACAGTCAGATAAAGTCAAACTTTATTAAGCGTTCTGACAACTCCGTTCACTCCCATGGTAACGTTGTTCAAACGTTAATGTGCATATTAACAATATCTCCAAGCCTTGCTCACTCTTCTCCCAAATGTGGAGGGGAACTTTTCCCTGATTCAGTAAACACGTAGTAAAAGAAACAGTCTGATACCACTAAATCAAACGTTAGTGCATAACTCAACATTGTTCAGTTACGTATAACACGTAAAGCTAACTTTTTCAGTTCATTCCCCGTCCACGAATCCCTCGAATTCTTCAGTGTCCGAATTGAACAGTTGGGCGACTACGGCATCCAACCTGCCCGGCTCCCTCTCGTCATTATCCGAGTCAGTGTCGCTGCTGTTGCCTGGCAGTTCAGAGATTATTCCTGCCTTCGTGAAAGCTTTGACCACAGTTGAGACTGATATATCAGCCCAGGCATCCACGATCCATTGGCAGATAGTGGCGTAAGTCGCCCGGCGCTGTCTCCCCGTCTTGGTGAACGTGTGTTCGCCTTCTGTCATCCAATGCTCCCACGCAGCTCGCAGTCTAGCTTTGAACGCCCTGTTGACACCAATATCTAGCGGCTGGAGTTCTTTAGTTAATCCACCCGGAATGACGGCAAGCTCCGAATTAGTTTGCTTCACTTGTTTTTTGACAGCATCGGTGATATGGGCGCGCATTGAGTCGTAGATCAATAGGGACGGAGCTGTGTGGAAAAAGCCACCCGGTCTCTTGACGTAAATTTCTCTCAGCCACTCACTCATCTTTTCCTCATCCATCCATCCCTTCGGGCTAGCTTTGATGACGACGCCGGCTGGAAAGTTTTCTTTTGGCAAGGTCTTCCTCTTGAAAATAACCATGGGTGGAAGTTTCTGGCCATTAACCTGGCAGGCGAGAACTACAGTGAAGGATGACTTCTCATTCCCTGTGGTGCGTACAGACACCGTACTGGTCCCCGTTTTCTCCACAGTGCGGTTCACGGGAATATCAAAGGTGAGTGGAACCTCGTCCATGTTGGTGATGTGCTCTGGCCGGATCTTCTTTTCAGTGATCTTCTTTTTGCAGTATGCGCGGAAAGTGACCAGCTTTTCTTGGTAATCTTTTGGCAGTTGCTGCGAGACGGTAGTTTGTGTGCGGATGGAGAGATTACGTCTTTTCATAAAACGAAAGCACCAAGAAGGACGGCCTCGAAATTCATCGATGATCACGTCCCGTGCTAGCGCTGTTGCCTTCATTCGAATAGTGACTGTAGAGACGCTTCTACTTGCTGCTCTCTGTTCAACAACCCACTGTTCGAGTTTGTCCTCTAACTGTGGCCATCTCGCTTTGTTCCCTCGGAAACTCTGTTTAGTCTTCTTTACTTGGTGCAGGTCATCATCTTGCTTCCTCCACTTCCGTACCATTGATTCATTAATGTTGAATTCTCTCGCTGCTGCTCTATTCCCATATTCTACTGCGTGACCGACAGCCTTGAGCTTGAACTCTGCGTCGTAAGCGTGTCTCTTGAAAGGTACCATTTTGGGGTCTTTATACACACACAAGTGGTGTGGGACTGTGAGTAAGCACAGTACCGGTGTTTACTGACTACGGTAGCCGTAATGCTGCAAGCGGTGCGGCTTTGTAGTTTACCAGTCGTACTGAAACATTTCATTATTATTCAATTGTTTTTATTGGTTTTTCATACTGAAACATTTTGACAGAGCGCCTTGAGCGCCGTGTACAACCAGTATGGATCAACCAATTAACCAATTGATCCATATATAAGGCGCTCCGGATTATAAGGCGCACTGTAATTTTTTTAGAAAATTAAAGGCTTTTAAGTGCGCCTTATAGTGCGGAAAATACGGTAACTATGTATTATGAAGTCGAAGTTAGATGCATCAACCTCTGGGTGAGATCGTACCGGATGTACTGTTGGATGGCTCCGTCATGGTCCCCCTTCACGTAGAGGTGGTCGCCGTACTGCCTGAAGATCTCAGACAGCCCGTCACTGTCCAAGTGCTGGCTCTTAGCCAGGTTGATGGCCATCACAAACAGATTCTTCTTGAAGAGCATCTAAAGACAGATTGAAGTGTTAAGTGCCTTGCTCAAGGGTACAACGGCAGTAAACGATACCTTGGATCTGAAACCTGTCGTCCTCCAGTTTCCAGTTCAATCCGGTGCTGAGTTGAACATAATACGTTTGAGGGGAAAAGGCGATATGATGTCAGTCAGCGTATTTTGGGCTTACCTCTAGCTTGGTCTGAGTGTCTTTCTCCTGCAGCACAAACATCTTTCCATCCCGAGTTAGGATGTAGAAGGAGCCCCATTCGGCAAGAACGTCGATGATGTCATCAAAGGAAACGCTGTAGGCAATGAACTTGTTGTCCAGGTCGTAGATTGTCAAGATTTGTTTCTCCGAAGGAGACGTCTCTCTGCTCCCAAATTCAGACCTGAGTACAGAACTTGTATTCAATATATTGTCATAGGAGTTAATATAGTTTTATCACCTAAAAATATGCATGGGTGGTTTGGTTGAATCTTTAAATTTTAGTCATTTAGCAGACGCTCTTATCCAGAGCGACTTACAGTTAGTGAGTGCATACATTATTATTATTATTTTTTGTATTATTATTATTATTATTATTATTATTATTATTATTATTATTATTATTATACACTGCTCCAAAAAATAAAGGGAACACTAAAATAACACATCCTAGATCTGAATGAATGAAATAATCTTATTAAATACTTTTTTCTTTACATAGTTGAATGTGCTGACAACAAAATCACACAAAAATTATCAATGGAAATCAAATGTATCAACCCATGGAGGTCTGGATTTGGAGTCACCCTCAAAATTAAAGTGGAAAACCACACTACAGGCTGATCCAACTTTGATGTAATGTCCTTAAAACAAGTCAAAATGAGGCTCAGTAGTGTGTGTGACCTCCATGTGCCTGTATGACCTCCCTACAACGCCTGGGCATGCTCCTGATGAGGTGGCGGATGGTCTCCTGAGGGATCTCCTCCCAGACCTGGACTAAAGCATCCGCCAACTCCTGGACAGTCTGTGGTGCAACGTGGCGTTGGTGGATGGAGCGAGACATGATGTCCCAGATGTGCTCAATTGGATTCAGGTCTGGGGAACGGGCGGGCCAGTCCATAGCATCAATGCCTTCCTCTTGCAGGAACTGCTGACACACTCTAGCCACATGAGGTCTAGCATTGTCTTGCATTAGGAGGAACCCAGGGCCACCAGCATATGGTCTCACAAGGGGTCTGAGGATGTCATCTCAGTACCTAATGGCAGTCAGGCTACCTCTGGCGAGCACATGGAGGGCTGTGCGGCGCCCCAAAGAAATGCCACCCCACACCATGACTGACCCACCGCCAAACCGGTCATGCTGGAGGATGTTGCAGGCAGCAGAACGTTCTCCACGGCATCTCCAGACTCTGTCACGTCTGTCACGTGCTCAGTGTGAACCTGCTTTCATCTGTGAAGAGCACAGGGCGCCAGTGGCGAATTTGCCAATCTTGGTGTTCTCTGGCAAATGCCAAACGTCCTGCATGGTGTTGGGCTGTAAGCACAACCCCCACCTGTGGACGTCGGGCCCTCATACCACCCTCATGGAGTCTGTTTCTGACCGTTTGAGCAGACACATGCACATTTGTGGCCTGCTGGAGGTCATTTTGCAGGGCTCTGGCAGTGCTCCTCCTGCTCCTCCTTGCACAAAGGTGGAGGTAGCAGTCCTGCTGCTGGGTTGTTGCCCTCCTACGGCCTCCTCCACATCTCCTGATGTACTGGCCTGTCTCCTGGTAGCGCCTCCATGCTCTGGACACTACGCTGACAGACACAGCAAACCTTCTTGCCACAGCTCGCATTGATGTGCCATCCTGGATGAGCTGCACTACCTGAGCCACTTGTGTGGGTTGTAGACTCCGTCTCATGCTACCACTAGAGTGAAAGCACCGCCAGCATTCAAAAGTGACCAAAACATCAGCCAGGAAGCATAGGAACTGAGAAGTGGTCTGTGGTCACCACCTGCAAAACCAGTCCTTTATTGGGGGTGTCTTGCTAATTGCCTATAATTTCCACCTGTTGTCTATTCCATTTGCACAACAGCATGTGAAATGTATTTTCAATCAGTGTTGCTTCCTAAATGGACAGTTTGATTTCACAGAAGTGTGATTGACTTGGAGTTACATTGTGTTGTTTAAGTATTCCCTTTATTTTTTTGAGCAGTGTATATAAAAAAAAAAAAATCATACTGGCCCCCCGTGGGAATCGAACCCACAACCCTGGCGTTGCAAACGCCATGCTCTACCAACCGAGCTACATCCCTGCCGGCCATTCCCTCCCCTACCCTGGACGACGCTGGGCCAATTGTGCGCCGCCCCATGGGTCTCCCGGTCGCGGCCGGCTACGACAGAGCCTGGATTCAAACCAGGATCTCTAGTGGCACAGCTGCGATGCAGTGCCTTAGACCAAAATACAACCTACTGGGTTTTTTTCTACTTACAGTCAACATGAATGGATTTAGTATAAAATTACTTGTTGTGTTTCATTGTTGCAATAAAAAAAGAAATGACACTTGGCTAACCTTAGGGGACCCGTTCAATAGAAAGGGCTACTGTGCCACCATCTGAGGGAGTTGTTCTTACTTGTTGGGAGACTTGGTATCCCTGGTGAGCAGCAGGAGGTAGCCCCGGTGCCAGTGGGCCAGCAGCTTGTGCCCGTCGAAAGCGAAACAGGGCCCCCGTTCGTCAGGCTGGTAAAGGTACACACACTCGTCCCCTGCGACAATGAACTGGGAGTCCTGGGAGGGGTCTGTGAGCGCAGAGCAACGCAGCGCACAGCCGTGGGTGTCCAGTTCCAGTTTAGGGTACTCCTTCACTGACAAAGTGTAGCACTAATCACAGGGTGGAAACAACACCAAATGAAACAGAAGCAAGTTAGTGCTTATGCTCCAAGGGAAAAGTAGTATGGTGACAGGCTTGGGGTCAATGCCATTAAAAATCTATCAATTCAAATCCTCCTTGAAAATATATGGCACTTTTCAAATATTGAATTGTAATTTACATTAATAACCTGAATTGATCTTAAACTTGATTCTATGGACTTCACTTATCAGAGTGACATTGGAAAGCTCAAATGACTTACGTGGACTTTTTCCAAAGTGGCAACAAATAAGTGAGTGACCTTGCTCTGCTGACGGAAAGCGAGGCCCGTGACTGGACAGGTGCCCTCATGCAGTGTCAGGGTTTTACTGTGCCTGTCCCGGGTGATGTCACCTTTTGTCAACACCACACTGCCATCTGTGAAGCCTGCAATGACATGGGGATTATGAATTTATAACAGGGAGCAAACACAAATCTCAAAACCAAATCTAAACTATAGCCGACATAGGTAGTACTGAAGAAATGCCACTTACCAATGGCCATAAAGTTTAGGTTCTCGTGTACACTGAGGCATGACACCTCTGTTGGCTTGTTCCCAGGAATTGCTGGGAATATTCTTGTGCACAGAGGATTCCCGCTGTCACGCTTGTCTGGATTCCATACCTTCACCTGGGAAACAGTAACACAGCTGGGTTTTTAATAACAGTTCACAAATAACAACCAAGGGAACTAACATACTGTTTTTTGATACTCAATATTAAATACATCCTACTAAATTTCTTACCAGGGGGTTAATTCCTTGCTCGTCCTGCCCAACTGAGACCAAAATGCTGTGCTGCTTGAGCTGGTAAAGGTGGGTCACTCTCAGCTTGTAAGCCTGAAAGGAGGACAACTGCAGGGAGCGTGTCAAAAACCAGATCTGACCGTCCATATGTAATTTATTCTGGTTCAAGGAAGCATAATTTTAGATCAGGAGAGACAAATGGCCATTTGCATGGTTAGGGATAGAGGAGACAATTACAAAGGCAAGGCCTTGTTCGAATCCTCTCAAAATGTACAGTCACGGTCAAAAGTTTTAAGAATGATACAAATATTAATTTTCACAAAGTCTGCTGCCTCAGTTTTTATGATGGCAATTTGCATATACTCCAGAACGTTATGAATAGTGATCAGATGAATTGCAATTAATTGGAAAGTCCCTATTTGCCATGAAAATGAACTTAATCCCAAAAAGACATTTCCACTGCATTTCAGCCCTGCCACAAAAGGACCAGCTGACATCATGTCAGTGATTCTCTAGTTAACACAGGTGAGCGTGTTGACGAGGACAAGGCTGGAGATCACTCTGTCATGCTGATTGAGTTAGAATAACAGACTGGAAGCTTTAAAAGGAGGTTGGTGCTTGAAATCATTGTTCTTCCTCTGTTAACCATGGTTACCTGCAAGGAAACACGTGCCGTCATCATTGCTTTGCACAAAAAGGGCTTCACAGGCAAGGATATTGCTGCTAGTAAGATTGCACCTAAATCAACCATTTATCGGATCATCAAGAACTTCAAGGAGAGAGGTTCAATTGTTGTGAAGAAGGCTTCAGGGCACCCAAGAAAGTCCAGCAAGCGCCAGGACCGTCTCCTAAAGTTGATTCAGCTGCGGGATCGGGGCACCACCAGTGCAGAGCTTGCTCAGGAATGGCAGCAGGCAGGTGTGAGCGCATCTGCATGCACAGTGAGGCAAAGACTTTTGGAGGATGTCCTGGTGTCAAGAAGGGCAGCGAGGAAGCCACTTCTCTCCAGGAAAAACATCAGGGACAGACTGATATTCTGCAAAAGGTACAGGGATTGGACTGCTGAGGACTGGGGTAAAGTCATTTTCTCTGATGAATCCCCTTTCCTATTGTTTGGGGCATCCGGATAAAAGCTTGTCCGGAGAAGACAAGTTGAGCGCTACCATCAGTCCTGTGTCATGCCAACAGTAAAGCATCCTGAGACCATTCATGTGTGGGGTCGCTTCTCAGCCAAGGGAGTGGGCTCACTCACAATTTTGCCTAAGAACACAGCCATGAATAAAGAATGGTACCAACACATCCTCCGAGAGCAACTTCTCCCAACCATCCAAGAACAGTTTGGTGACGAACAATGCCTTTTCCAGCATGATGGAGCACCTTGCCATAAGGCAAAAGTGATAACTATGTGGCCCGGGGAACAAAACATCGCCATTTTGGGTCCATGGCCAGGAAACTCCCCAGACCTTAATCCCATTGAGAACTTGTGGTCAATCCTCAAGAGGCGGGTGGACAAACAAAAACCCACAAATTCTGACAAACTCCAAGCATTGATTATGCAAGAATGGGCTGCCATCAGTCAGGATGTGGCCCAGAAGTTCATTGACAGCATGCCAGGGTGGATTGCAGAGGTCTTGAAAAAGAAGGGTCAACACTGCAAATATGGACTCTTTGCATAAACTCAATGCAATTGTCAATAAAAGCCTTTGACACTTATGGAATGCTTGTAATTATACTTCAGTATACCACAGTAACATCTGACAAAAATATCTAAAAACACTGAAGCAGCTAACTTTGTGAAGACCAATACTTGTCATTCTCAAAACTTTTGACCAGTCAAAAGTTGACACACCTACTCATTCAAGGGTTTTTCTTTATTTTTTAAACTATTTTCTACATTGTAGAATAATAGTGAAGACATCAAAACTATGAAATAACACATATGGAATCACATAGTAACCAATAAAGTGTTAAACAAATCAAAATATATTTTATATTTGCGATTCTTTAAATAGCCACCCTTTGCCTTGATGACAGCTTTGCACACTCTTGGCATTCACTCAACCAGCTTCACCTGGAATGCTTTTCCAACCGTCTTGAAGGAGTTCCCACATATGCTGAGCACTTGTTGGCTGCTTTTCCTTCACTCTGCAGTCCGACTCATCCCAAACCATCTCAATTGGGTTGAGGTCGGGGGATTGTGGAGGCCATGTGGAGCCCAAACCAGATGGGATAGCATATCGCTGCAGAATGCTGTGGTAGCCATGCTGGTTAAGTGTGCCTTCAATTCTAAATAAATCACATACAGTGTCACCAGCAAAGCACCCCCACACCATAACACCTCCTCCTCCATGCTTTACGGTGGGAAATACACATGCAGAGATCATCCGTTCATCCACACCGCTTCTCACAAAGACATGGTGGTTGGAACCAAAAATCTCCAATTTGGACTCCAGACCAAAGGACACATTTCCACCAGTCTAATGTCCATTGCTCGTGTTTCTTGGCCCAAGCAAGTCTCTTCTTATTATTGGTGTCCTTTAGTAGTGGTTTCTTTGCAGCAATTCAACCATGAAGGCCTGATTCACACAGTCTCCTCTGAACAGTTGATGTTGAGATGTGTCTGTTACTTGAACTCTGTGAAGCATTTATTTGGGATGCAATTTCTGAGGCTGGTAACTCTAATGAACTTATCCTCTGCAGCAGAGGTAACTCTGGGTCTTCCATTCCTGTGGCGGTCCTCAGGAGAGCCAGTTTCATCATAGCGCTTGATGGTTTATGCGACTGCACTTGAATAAACTTTCAAATAAATGTTCCGTATTGACTGACCTTCATTCTTAAAGTAATGATGGACTGTCATTTATCTTTGCTTATTTGAGCTGTTCTTGCCATAATATGGACTTGGTCTTTTACCAAATAGGGCTATCCTCTGTATACCCCCCCTTGTCAGAACACAACTAATTGGCTCAAACGCATTAGGAAGGAAAGAAATTCCACAAATTCAATTTTAAGAAGGCACACCTGTTAATTGAAATGCATTCCAGGTGACTACCTCATGAAGCTGGTTGAGAGAATACCAAGAGTGTGCAAAGCTGTCATCAAGGCAAAGGGTGGCTATTTGAAGAACCTCATTTAACATATATTCTGATTTGTTTAACACTTTTTTGGTTACTATATGATTCCATGTGTTATTTCATAGTTTTGATGTCTTCATTATTATTCTACAATGTAAAAAATTAAGAAAAACCCTTGAATGAGTAGGTGTCCAAACTTTTGACTGGTAGTGTATATAATTAGCCATATGAATAAGAAGAGTAATGAATACAAGCAATGTAAATATGTACACTTCTTAGTCGTAAGACTAGTATGGACTGGTGTAAGCAAGCTTTCCACAGCATTACATCAGTTGTCACATCAGATTAATCATTACTTCAAGGAAGGAGGACATTTTCAAGACCCTATTTGAACAGGGACATTGATTCAGTTGATTGCATCATTGAAAGCCTGGGAGCCAGTCTGAAGTTGTTGATTCACTCCTCTCAAACTAATTTCTCGGACTGGCACCAAGGCTAGTTTAGCTAACTAAAGGCTCATGTCCTGGCTGCTTACTAACGTCAATCAGTTAGCTAGCAAACTAGCCAACTCAGATGTTGCCATTTAGCTGGACATAATCATTAATAATAATTTCATTTTTTGTAGTTAGCCAAGGAGCATAATTTGGGCATATAATCTCAATGTCATTAACGTTATTAGTTCGCTTGCTTAAAATGGCAAGACTGCTTGAGAGGGATGTCTGGGTAGCAAGTTTGTTAGCTGGCATTGACAAGCTAAATTAACTAAGCTATGTTTACATCATGGAAACCACCGAAAGGATATCTCCAAGAACGATGTGACCCCGGCCCGAGTCACATGCCGATATGCCAACGGGGAGGACGAAGTTTTTCCCATTATCTCCAGCGTCCTTCACGGTCTCTTTATCAAAAAATACAAATCGTCTCCACTGTAAGAACGCAGCCATTTTCTTTGCACTGTCTGTATCCTCAGTGAAGAAATCATGTGATACCATCACAAGTCATGTGAGAGAGGGGGAGGCGGAAAGAGATAAATGTTATAAATATTTATTATATATATTTTTTTATTAAATGTCAGTCAACACACGAAATGAATATGTTTATCAATGTAGGTGGTAGGCTACAAGGGTCACAAAATAAAGTGGTTAACTGTTGATCATGTTCATTTTGAAATACCACCCATTCAATAGTGTTTTTTCCCTACACTTACTTACTTTATTTATTTGACAGGGACAATGCACATCAATTAACATTTCTGTAAATGTGCCAGATTTAGCCAGCGGACTAGTTTCCATCTGTAGTCCCTCGGTTATATAAATAAAAAACATTTAGTGTCACAAACATTATTTACATAAAGTATAGCTAAGAACTCGTTCTACCAATAAGTCACAGATCAATCAGTAATAAATAAAAAGTACATTGACTTCAACATTGTTTTGACTACAACTACTAGTAGTCACCGATACAATCGGTCACCTTAATACAATGTTGTCCTACAATTTACGCCCATTAATTGAACGTGGACTAATCACATATTGACAAAGGTTTGTTCTCGACAGCCATCACTGCACGTGGACCTATCACTCTGCAGAACCTGGAACTTAGAAGACTGGCTCTTGCCGCATTACTAACAACTGGGAAATCGGACATCTCCTACTTCCGTCTTCAGTGCGTTCAAAACAACTGGGACCCGGGGAAAAACGAGCTCCGACTAGTGAAAATCGTTTAGAACCATCAGGAACTCGGGCTTCTCTCTAGAACTCTTTCCGACCTGAATATCACTGACGTCCTGATTCCACCTCGTTTTTCCGAGTCCCCAGTTGTTTTGAAAACACCATCTGTGGGTGGGTCACAGGGTCAGCGCTGTCCTCGCGGAACAACGACTCTAGTGGTTTCCACTAGATAGTACAGCCACAAAGTCAAAATCGGCTATATCGTACAAAGTCATAAAAGCAAAAATGTGCTTTTTTGTCCTCGCGGAACAACGATTCTAGTGGTTTCCACTATATAGCACAGCCACAAAGTCAAAATCGGCTATATGGTAAAAAGTAATGAAAGCAAACATTTGCTTTTTGGTCTTAATGTAAGGTTAGGCATAAGGCTAGCCGTGTGGTTAAGGTCAGGTTTAAATCAAATTTAAATAAGATGCATTGTAGATATAGGCGGGGTTTATGACTTTGTGTCTGTGGTAACTACTGACGACCGACTCGAGTGGATCCAATGAGATCACGCCGCGTTCTGGGCCCTATGGCGAGAACAAGCCGGTGATAGCAGGGGGAAAATATCAAGAAACCTTTATTAGTGTGGCTACGAAGAGGTTTCCAGTCAATAGATCAAGCCAACAGTAAGAAGCATACACCTAAATAATACGAGATAGACCGTTTTAGCTTTCTGCAAGTAAAGGCGTGCTCTTTCATTTTGTTGATATTTTTGTTTAAGCCAGCCTGCTTCAAAAAACTGAACTGCTGCTGGCTGGAGTGGAGAAGGTAAGGTTCTGGTCTGTCAGGTCAGTCATCAAGGTGCCTAGTTAGCTAGTTAAGTAATTGTTTTTCCATTATATTCTATCTAATTACTTGCAAATGCGGTTGCTCATTGGTCCATTGAAGCAGTCGTAGCTACCCGTTATTTGCTAACATAGCCTCATTTCAAATGAAATGGTTGAGGGATTTTAAAGGTGTGTTCTAGCTAGCTGTGTTTCTAAAAAGCATTATTTGTATTGTAACTAGCTAACGTTACCTAACTAGTAGACGGAACCCGTTTCCAGAACCCAAGACTGCTTTTTGTTTTTCAATGAATGGTCAAGGCATCACCTGCGCTGGGCGTCCATATCATTCATACTGTACGCCAGTGCTCCATGATGGGGCTAGAAGTTTCTACGTTCGTGTATTTGAATATGAACAACTGCATGCTATATAGCCATTAGTTTGCTGTTTGACACTTGAAATAGACATTAACTAGCCTATATATCCTTCATTTCGTAAAACGTGCCCTAGTCCGTAGTTAGAAAAAGTATTGCCTCACGTTGTCATCATGCTTCCTGACTTACATTTTAGTCATTTAGCAGACGCTCTTATCCAGAGCGACTTAGTTAGTGAGTGCATACATTTTCATACTGGCCCCCCGTGAGAATCGAACCCACAACCCTGGCGTTGCAAGCGCCATGCTCTACCAACTGAGCTACACGGGACTTGCCATCAGCACTTCAATTAACAGTCACAGAACTAATCTATTCTCAGGCTAATTAGATGGATTGCACGTTCAAGATCAAAGGGCATGAGTCATGAAACATCCAGTTACCTGAATACCCCTGGACAGTGAAGGTGGCATATTGTCCCCACCTAGAGTTTGGAACTGTGACGTCTAAAGAACCCTTATGAGGTGCTGAAGAGTAATGGCAGAGCATTATCTAAATATTCAAGTGGACTTCCCACTTCTGCACTGGTATGAAAATAGTTTCATATAGGTGAAATCAATATGGTGTATGACCACCAGGCATTTGCTTTCACCTCTCCTCCTGTTCGACAGTGCAGGTGAAGGAATGGACACACAAGGACAGGAGGCATCTTTGAGATGACCGTGTTACCTTACTTACTGCTCTAGAGCAGTGGTTCCCAAACTGGGGTGGCAGGAATTTTTTGGAACTCAATCCGGCTTTCAAATTGTAATAGTAGAAGGCACAAGGTGCAATTTTGAAATTGTGTAGTGCATCGGGATGTTCCCCAATTCTGGAAGGGGGGCCTGAGTGAAAAACTTTGGGAACCCCTGCTCTAGAGCAGCGTTTCCCAAAATCATTCCAAATGGATATTTGATCCCCGAAGAAGACTTTTAAAACAAATGACAACATTTGTAGCAAGTGGCTTTGTACAGGATGCAAAAACAGTATAGGAGAATGTATCTCAAAATAATGAACCAATTATTTCTTAAGCACACTTACCATGTCACCAGGAAGGCTGCTGTTAGCATTTGAAAATCTATGTTTTTGTTCTGTTTTGTGTGTACAGGTCACCATGAGGAGGAAGCTGACATTATGGGCTCTCTTCTGCCTTGTCCTGGCACTGCTGCCTTCACAAACGGGTACTAACACTACACATGGTTATTCCATCCAAGACACCTGCCCGCATCAAGCACCGGCAGATTCACCTAACACCAAATTCAAATTTCAACGTAAATCTGAATGCCTCCATTTTGAGTGTGTGAAGAGAATGGACACATGCAGAGAATATAGTTAATCACATCACAATATGATGCATTGTCCATATTTGTACCTATTTACACACATTAATTTACTGATGCACGGGTGAACATTGATTTAAGTTCAATGTCAACTGATGCAAAGGACTTGTCAAATGTTTTGATATTAATCACTCACATTGCCACCATACCACTGTAGTCAGTGAGAAATCGTTGAGGCTAATCACCTTTAGTATTGTCTCACTTAAAATGTGTAATCATCATTTTGTTATTACAAAAGTACAGGTAATGGAATAATCATACCCATTATTCTGTCCATAAAGCCTCTGTTGCAGTCATGTCAGTTGACCTGGGCAGTGAGTGGATGAAAGTAGCGATAGTAAAACCTGGCGTGCCAATGGAGATTGCTCTAAACAAGTGAGTATTGCCATTTTCATTGTCTCTAACCATGACATCACAATGGGTTTAGGACTTTGTGCTTTTAGATGGAAATCCCTATTCTGTTTCATGTTTGTTTGATATGTGTTCATAACTGTTAATATCCATACTCATCGCTAATGTTTGAGTAAGCTAGCTGTTGTTCTTTAGTGTTTACAATGTATGTTAACATGGAAATACCTAAATGGGCCTGTGCCAAGTGTGCTGAATGGTGAATGAAAATTGGGTAACTGAACATTTGTGGGAGAGAACTAAGGGTCAGGTCATGATAAAGATGATTTAAAAAATGCATTCTCAAAGCTTTAACATGTTTCAATAGTCTGTCTTTTCCTTCTTTGTGTGGCACAGGGAGTCCAGGAGGAAAACGCCAATAGCTGTGTGTTTAAAAGAAAATGAGAGACTTTTTGGAGACAGTGCATTGGGAGTGGTAAGACACTTTGTCGTAGGTAACCTACCAGGTCACACATTTTAAAATGTCTGTATCATACAGTTAGTACTCTGTACTCCCCCATGGGAATCAATAAAGTTAATTAATTCATATCTACACTGACATGGATTTTGATTTTTTTCTCCCACAGTCTGTGAAGAACCCCAAATTTGTCTATAGGCATCTTCAGAGCCTCCTTGGCAAGAAACATGACAACCCACAGGTGGCGGTCTATCAGAAACGCTTCCCCGAGCACCATCTGGGGAAAGATGAGAGTCGGGGCACAGTTCTCTTTAGCAACTCAGAGTAAGTCATATCTGATTTCCTCTCATTGGTTCCCTTTTCCTTTGTTTAGCAGTAGGTGATTGAGCCAAGTGATTCGTTGTTGAAGTACTGTTGAAGAGTACTAATAATACTGAAGTCTATGGGCTATTACCGATGAGGGGCAAAATGCTGACCCATGAACTTATTGGTTCAGTGTACGACGTTCCTTTGCATACTGCCCAAATGGAACATTTTAAACAGCCTGTGACAATGTCATTGATCCACTATGTCCTATGCTGTAGTTGTGGATAAGAGTGATTGGTTCTAATGTCTGCTCTGTTTTCCTGCAGAGAAATGCAGTACTCTCCAGAGGAGCTCCTGGGCATGGTTTTGAACTATTCACGTGGACTGGCTCAGGACTTTGCAGGTTTGTCTGTTCAATAGTAGAATGGGGGAAAGGTTGGCATTTTTCAACATTTTGTGTTATACAATTATTTTGATGTCCCCTTTACGGAATGTATTTTACTCTCGCTTACAGAGCAGCCCATCAAAGATGCAGTGATCACCGTCCCGGCCTTTTTCAATCAGGCAGAGCGCAGAGCAGTCCTGCAGGCCGCACAGATGGCAGGTGTTAAAGTCCTTCAGCTCATCAACGACAACACGGCGGTGGCGCTCAACTACGGCGTCTTCAGGAGAAAAGACATCAACAGCACAGCTCAGGTGCACTAACTAGGCTGCTTTTACATTTGTGTTTTTTATTTAACTAGGTTGGTCAATTGAGAATCAACTAGTAAGTTGCTTTGTGTAACCCTAGTCTTATATTCCTCTTGCCTGTTGTCTCGCTCTACAGAACATTATGTTCTATGACATGGGTTCAGGCAGCACAACAGCAACCATCGTCACGTACCAGACGGTCAAGACCAAAGAGTCGGGTACCCAGCCACAGCTCCAGATACGAGGAGTGGGGTGAGACAAAAGGACCTGTATACCCACATTTACACACACACACACACACTGCAACACAGGATGTTGGGGAAAGCACACACCTTGACCTCTGCACTGATCAATATGAAATAAATACTGGTTTTGTTTTCATTCCATATACATTTTTTGTAATTTAGCAGACGCTCTTATCCAGAGCGATTTACAGTTAGTGAGTGCATACATTTTTCATACTGGCCCCCCGTGGGAATCGAACCCACAACCCTGGCGTTGCAAGCGCCATGCTCTACCAGCTGAGCTACAGGAGGCCCTATATACAGTGAGCTACAAAGGTATTGGGTTAGTGACACAATTTGTTGATGTTTTGGCTCTGTACTCCAGCACTTTGGATTTGAAACGATAGAATGACTGAGGTTAAAGTGCAGCCTGTCAGCTTTAATTTGAGGGTATTTTCATCCATATCGGGTGAACTGAACTTTTTGTACATAGTCCCCCCCATTTTAGGGGACCGACGGTATTGGTACAAATTCAGTTACAGTGCCTTCGGAAAATATTCAGACCCCTTGACTTTTTCCTTACTTTACAGCCTTATTCTAAAATGTATTCAATAAAACATTTTCCTCATCAATCTACACACAATACCCCATAATCACAAAGTGAAAACAGGTTTTTAGAAATGTACTTACTTACATAAGTATTCAGTCCCTTTGCTATGAGACTTGAAATTGAGCTCAGGTGCGTCCTGTTTCCATTGATCATCCTTGATGTTTCTACAACTTGATTGGAGTACACCTGTGGTAAATTCAATTGATTGGACATGATTTGGAAAGGCACACACCTGTCTATATAAGGTCCCACAGTTGACATTGCATGTCAGAGAAAAAACCAAGCCATGAGGTCGAAGGAAATGTCTGTAGAGCTCCGAGACAGGATTGTGTTGAGGCACAGATCTGGGAAAGGGTAGCAAAACATTTCTGTAGCCTTGAAGGTCCCCAAGAACACACTGGCCTCCATCATTCTTAAATAATAGAAGTTTGGAACCACCAAGACTCTTCCTAGAGTTGGCTGCCTGGCCAAACTAAGCAATCGGGGGAGAAGGGCCTTGGTCAGGGAGGTGACCAAAACCCAATGGTCACTCTGACAGAGCTCCAGAGTTCCTCTGTGGAGATGGAAGAACCTTTCAGAAGGACAACTATCAGTGCAGCACTCCACTAATCAGGCCTTTATGGTAGAGTGGCCAGACGGAAGCCACTCCTCAGTAAAAGACACATGACAGCCTGCTTGGAGTTTGCCAAAAGGCACCTAAAGACTCTTAGACCATGAGAAACAAGATTGAACTCTTTGGCCTGAATGCCAAGCGTCACGTTTGGAGGAAAGCTGGCACCATCCCTACGGTGAAGCATGGTGGTGGCAGCGTCATGCTGTGGGGATGTTTTTCAGCAGCAGGGACTGGGAGACTAGTCAGGATCGAGGGAAAGATGAACGGCGCAAAAGTACAGAGATCCTTGATGAAAACCAGCTCAGGACCTCAGACTGGGGTGAAGGTTCACCTTCCAACAGGACCACAACCGTAAGCACACAGCCAAGACCACGCAATAGTGGCTTCGGGACATGTCTCTGAATGTCCTTGAGCGGCCCAAGCTTATGACTACAAATTTGTTGGATGCATTTGCTGTTTAGGTTGTTTCAGATTATTTTGTGCCCAATAGAAATGAATGGTAAATAATGTATTGTCATTTTATTGTAAATATGTATAGAATGTTTCTAAACACTTCTACATTCATGTGGATGATACCATGATTACGGATAATCCTGACTGAGTCGTGAGAAAGTTACAATTACAAAAATATTATACCCCCCCAAAATATACGTATAAGTGAATTTGTCCCAATACTTTTGGTCCCCTAATAATATGGCGGGGGGGGACTATGTACAAATAGTGCAATCATCTCTAAACGGTTCACCCAATATGGATGAAAATACCCTCACATTAAAGCTGACAGTCTGCAACTTAACCTCAGTCATTGTATCATTTCAAATCCAAAGTGCTGGAGTACAGAGCCAAAACAACACTGGGTCACTGTCCCAATACTTATGGTGGAGCTATTACAAGCACATTTCTCAAAAATGTTCCTGACCTAACGGATGTTTTCCATCTCTGGCAAGGTTTGACCGCTCTCTGGGAGGCTTTGAGATGGAGCTGCGGCTGCAGGACCACCTGGCCAAGCTGTTCAACAAGCAGAAGAAGACCAAGAAGGATGTGAGGGAGAACCACCGTGCCATGGCCAAGCTTCTCAAGGAGGCCCAAAGACTCAAGACTGTGCTGAGCGCTAACGCCGAATTCATGGCACAGGTAACGGGACCTTCGCTGACCCCTTTTATTTATTTTGTATCTTTCACACCTGTCTTACATCATTCCCCTTACCTTTGCTGCAGTTGAGTAGTTGCCCGGCTACTCCTATGTCACCCATTGTGTTCTACTGTAGATGAGTAACCTTGTAAAATAATTACACAGGTGAAGCCATCACATTGCTTCTTTATCCTTCCATTCCCTGTCACTTCCCGTCTTACACCGTTCTGCACATTTAGAGAAATATGGTATTTTTTGGTAACGTCTCTTATGTAATGGTGGTGTTCGGTGTCGGGTGTGTAGTATTGTTAGACCTGAAAGTAAGCACCCATTCAATTGGGGAAACGTATGTTTATTGCTGCACTAACTCTATGCTGCACTGTCAGTGTTACTGTCACCCATAGTGTTCTACTGTAGATGTGTAATACTGTACATGTAAACCAAATATACTCTCGCTTTGTTGTTCAGGTGGAAGGGCTGCTGGATGACATGGACTTCAAGGCCAAGGTGACCCGTGTGGAGTTTGAGGCCCTGTGTGCTGACCTGTTTGAGAGAGTGCCTGGCCCCGTACAGGAGGCCCTCAGCTCTGCAGAGATTACCCTGGTGAGTCACCACAGCTTGTGTGTATTCATTAGGCACCAAATGGACTGAAACAGGAAGGGATTCCCTGGATTTGTCCAATAAGGAAAGTTCATTTTCAATTTCCGTTGCAAAACGTAAAACATTTTCCATTGTGTGCCCTAACGAACATGACACTTGTTTCTCAATTGATCTTTTAGTTAATCAATCACTAACTTTATTTTACATCTTGGGGGAAACTTGCACAAACAACGACGCAGACAAAAGCATCAATTGACCCACAAAAAGACAAAGGAAAATAGCAGTATCAAAAAGATCACACTGTAACTTCACAAGACCTGATCTGTGGAATGGCTATGCTCCTTAGGATAAAGTCTTCTCTTAACATCCTATCACAGTTGCGTAGTAGAATCAAAAACTGAAGTAGAATAGTTGATGCCTGAGGTCTATGGGAACGAAACGTTGCACTTTGATGTAGGTTTGATATTAAATATCCTTTATCGTGTTCATGGCACAGTATCTTAACCCATAAGAGTCTAAGCCGGGGGAGATGGAGTTCTACTAACTAAATGAAATTATTTTAAGAAGGTCATACCAAGGATCATTTTAATTTTGAATTTAAGACCCCTTGAAGTATCAAAAAAACTATAAAGAAACAATATTTGATTAAGAAAAACATGTTTTGGCCTTGCTGCTATTAGACCATACAAACACATTGAATAACAGATTCAATAAATGGAACAACAGATAGTCCCCCCCCCCCCAAAAAAAAAAAAAAAAAAATCTAAAGGAGAGAGATAAGACACAACAGGAAACACAATTATTTGGGGGACATATTTAACCCCTTAATTTTGGCACTAAACCATATATACTTCCATTAATTAAACTGGTACCGGGGGACCTTCAACTAGTCTTGTGAGGCCTGTGGGCGTCCTAGAGCAAAACAACCGACATGTTCGTGAGAGTCTCACCTTTGCACAGAGGGTTGATATTAGTGTGTGTAGCCCAAACTGTTTAGACGCTACAGACAGAACTTCAGATCGGCTGTATCGACTTCAGACAAGTCCCAAGATGCTTGTGGGGGTTGTAGAGCAAAACGTAGAGTCTCATCTTTCCATAGAGGGGTCATAATATACTGAACAAAAATATAAACGCAACAATTTTAAAGGGTTTACTGAGTTACAGTTCATATAAGGAAATCAGTCAATTGAAATAAGTGTGTTAGGCCCTAATCTATGGATTTCACATGACTGGGAATACAGATATGCATCTGTTGGTCACAGATACTGTAAAAAAAAGAAAAAGGGTATGACTGGTTTTCTGATCCATGCCCTGGTGTGACCACCATTCGCCTCATGCAGTGCGACGCATATCCTTCGCGTAGAGTTGGTCAGGCTGTTGATTGTGGCCTGTGGAATATTGTCCCACTCCTCTTCAATGGCTGTGCGTAGTTACTGGATATTGGCGGGAACTGAAACATGCTGTCGTACAAGTCGACGCAGAGCATCCCAAACATGCAGTCCATGGAAGGACAGTATGCAGGCCACTGAAGAACTAGGGAATGTTCAGCTTCCAGGAATTGTGTACAGATCGTTGCGACATGGGGCCGTGCATTATGCTGAAACATGAGGTGATGGCGGCGGATGACTGGCACGACAATGGGCCTCAGGATCTCATCACGGTATCTGTGCATTAAAATTGCCATCGATAAAATGCAATTGTGTTCATTGTCCGTAGATTATGCCTGCCCATACCATAACCCCACCACCACCATCGGGCACTCTGCTCACAATGTTGACATCAGCAAACCGCTCGCCCACACAACGCCGTACACATGGTCTGCGGTTGTGAGGCCGGTTGGACGTACTGCTAAATTCTCTAATTACAGACAGAAATACTCCTCTGTTTCATCTGCTATCTGGGTGACTTGTCTCAGATCCCGCAGGTAAAGAAGCCGGATGTGGAGGTCCTGGGCTGGCATGGGTACACGTGGTCGGCAGTTGTCAGGCAGGTTGGATGTACTGCCAAATTCTCTAAAATGAACATTCAATTCTCTGGCAACAGCTCTGGTGGACATTCCTGCAGTCAGCATGCCAATTGCATGCTCCCTCAACTTGAGACATCTGTGGCATTGTGTTGTGTGACAAAACTGCACATTTATATAGTGGCCTTTTTATTGTTCCCAGCACAAGGTGCCCCTGTGTAATGATCATGCTGTTTAATCAGCTTCTTGATATGCCACACCTGTCAGTTGGATGGATTATCTTGGCAAAGGAAAAATACTCTTAACAAATTTGTGCACAAAATTGTGAGAAATAAGCTTTTTGTGCATATGGAACATTTCTGGGATCTTTTATTTCAGCTCATGAAACATGGGACCAACACTTTACGTGTTGCGTTTATAATTTTTGTTCAGTGTAGTTTGTAGGCCAACCCGTTCAGACGATTTTGTGAGAAGACCGATTTTTCAGGATGTCTCATGGTCTGACAAACACCGCTCTAGCTCTGTTACCTTTCACCGCAGATGTGGAAGTGTGACATAGGTGGATGTGGTGGATTGAGACCCATCCAAAAACATATCTCTAGCTTAAACTGACAGATTGTTATGGGGATTGTTGTATTCTGCTAATTACATTTCTGCGAGGGCATGGACATCGACCTTAGGGGGTTAACTCTTGACATGTTTCGGCATGTCAAGCCTTCTGTTTGTTTATTTGCAAATACTGTAAGGATATCTTCCAACATTGTCTTCCAACAGGACGAGATCGAGCAGGTGATCCTTGTGGGTGGCTCCACCCGAGTGCCTAAGGTGCAGGAAGTGCTGCTCAAAGCCGTTGGGAAGTAAGTATGTCAACAGTTTCACTCAACACTGTCAATACCTGGGGCTCTACACTACAGGAAAAACAAACATGAGGGACATGTAACTCACAAGTTGGCAAAGCTCCACCTGGGATGAAAAGGCTTAAAAGGCTATTCAGATCCCAAATCTAACTTTCAAGAAGAGTTCACGTTCTTAGGCGTACACCATTTGTTGTGTAGATCCAGCTAGATATGCCTTAATTGCAAATGAATATGAAAATGTTTATTTTCTTATCTATTTGGAGTTGAGGCCAATGTTCCCTCAAAAAAATGTCTCGCCACTGAGCAGATTTCAGGTCTGCTGGCTGTAAACTTGAACGTTGTGAAAAGTCTGTGGAACTTTCGGCTGTACCCGTTTTAAGTTAGTTTTAACAGTGGCCAAGTAGGCTACTGTGGCTATTTGATCATAATGTAGTAGGCCTACCAGAGTGGCCTACCATCAAAAACAATTGCGAAAATGCATCCCATAACATTTAAACATGGAAATAGCTGTTCTATCGTTCCGCCAGTAGCAGCCAATGTGTGGTGTTCAATGTAGGCCTACATTCCATGAGACTTTTGGAAAAAAAACATGCAGGGCTTGACATTAACCTGTTTATGTAGTTGTCCTTCAGACAAGGAGGTGACTGAAAAATGTTGTTGTGGTGTTTGATATAAGAAACCACTTTACAAAATACAATGTATTATTGTTCCCATACCATTATTATAGAGAATCAGACAAATTATGCTACCATCTGCCTATTGCCTACGTAGCTTATTCAAGCTTCTCTCAAAATACAACTCTGCCCCTTTTAAGACAAAAAAAAGCTCTTTACCTGACTCGCTTCTCAAAGATGTCTAGAAATGTACACGTTTTATGCTCTTGTAGGAACCAATCACTCCCCCATTGCTGACTAGAAATTAGCTATAACTGGGCTAATAACTCACTAACTAGCAAAGGATATGAACAAAATGTGCACACGTGGCTACATGCAGCACTTGCATTGATCTCAAAACAAGCACATCTACTCATGTCCACAGCTGTAAACACAGTCCAGTTCAAAGTAATGGCACAGATCCATATATGGCAATGGTCGATTTGCATATAGGCCTACTGCAGCTTTGATTGGTTATGCCGCACCGCTCTGTGTAGAGTACGGGCTGAGTATGCGCAATAGAATCCTACTCCGACGCGTTCTGCTTACAGCAAAAAAAGGGAAACGTTGATAGTGTTAACTAAGAGGGAAAACTCTAGAAAGTTGAGAGAAGTTCAATCTCGTGCTCCTCTCCGTGGCCTGATATTTCTTCTGCGTGGCAGTCTCGGGCTGTCCGCAGCTTAGAGGGAACATTGGTTGAGGCATGTAGTTCGATATACAAACCATTTGACTGCTTTTGAGGTCTGAAAAAGTCTCTGGCCAACCTTGTTCTTGGAGTGAAATATCACTTTGACCTGACTGACTGTGTGTGTAGAGAGGAGCTAGGGAAGAACATCAACGCAGACGAGGCTGCAGCCATGGGTGCCGTGTACCAGGCCGCTGCCCTCAGCAAGGCCTTCAAAGTCAAACCCTTCCTGGTCAGAGAGGCAGCTATTTTCCCGATCCAGGTAACACATCCCACTCTTAACATTGAAACCCACCCCTTTTTAAAAAACCACATCCAAAATGAATGGAAAAGCTAAGCACCACAAAACTGGATATCATATGGTGCTCCAGGTGGAGTTCACAAGGGAGATGGAGGAGGAGGATGGCTCCAGGAGCCTGAAGCACAACAAGCGTATCCTGTTCCAGAGGATGGCCCCCTACCCCCAGCGCAAGGTAATCACCTTCAACCGCTACACTGACGACTTTGCCTTCTACATCAACTACGGAGATCTCAGCTTCCTGGGCCAGGAAGACCTCAGGTGAGCACCTCTCCAATAAAGTTGGGTTTAATAGGTAGGAATTTAGGGCCAGCTTCCTGGACACAGATTAAGCCTAGGACTAAAAACCATGCTCAATGGGGAATATTTTTTTTTTTGCCCAAGACTTGATTTAATCTGTGTCCAGGAAATCGGCCCATAGATTTACCCCACTCTGTGAGCCAATGCGGTCAAACAGCAAGGTCTGAAAATGTTTTATGTAGACAGCCTGGAAAATTAAGGATATACTATAGCAGCATTAGTTTGTCAGTGGCTATAGTCCTAATAGAATTTGCCTAAGGGGACAAATAAAGCAGATTGAATTGTAATGGAAGTGACAAACAGCCCAAACTTACCTGTTATGTTGCATTAACATTCAGTTATCATCAGATGAGTTCACTTGGGGGGAGGGGGTCTGATTTTTTTATTTTAATATATTTTTTGTCTGTCTTTTCTTTCTTCCACCAGTGTGTTTGGCTCTCTCAACCTGACCACAGTGCAGCTGTCTGGGGTGGGCAGCAGCTTCAAGAAGCACACAGATGCTGAGTCCAAGGGCATCAAGGCCCACTTCAACATGGACGAGAGTGGCGTGCTCCTCCTGGACCGGGTCAGCACCATAGAATTACTTATCGAATGGGAATTATATGCATCAGTGCAACCCTCTAATGCTTATGGCACTCCTTTCTGGAAGTACAAATAAACCTCAAATACAAAACGCATCAGGCATTTTACATTTTCAAGATGGTTGCAAAATACATCAAAATAATATTTTATATTTACATTAAGGGTTTGATGCATTTTGTAAGTACATGTAAAAAGTAAATTTAACTAAAAAAAAAAAAAAAGGTAAAACCTAAATTCCCATCGTGTTTGTATCTGAGGTTTTAAATCTACCCACATAAACCCAATTGAAATTGGCTTGGTTTGAAGTGATTTTGAGTTGATTTAGACACTATTGAACTCCATTGTTTTGGGGTAATCGATGTGGTGGTTTTAGCTATGATTTTATTTGACCTATCGCTTTAACTAATAGTTGTTTTCTTCAGGTGGAGTCTGTCTTTGAGACCGTTGTGGAGGAGAAGGAAGAGGAGTCTACTCTGACAAGTGGGTTTTATGCTAACATCGTAATCAATTGACATCTGATCACCCCCTTTAGTCATAATCATAGTAGAGGTGGGCGACTGCCAAAAATCACCATAGATTGCCTGAATTGATGAGAGAACGATAAGTTTAAAACATTAATGTGCACCGCTGTTTAAAAAAAATGATATTTTAAAATACTGCTACTAGTTTGATTGTTGTAGCCATCAATTGTACCATCAACAATCACCCATATTAGCAAACTTATTTAATTTCAAGCTTCACATTTCTCTAGTATAGGCCACTTATCGTAATGAACGATATCAGCAAAATGCCTGCGATAAGTGGTTGGTGTCGAAAATGTTCAGGTTATTGTCTTAGAATTAAGACATGGAAGAGACTATGATTTAGAGCTTTCTCTTTTGACTTGTCAGAACTGGGTAATACCATTTCCAGCCTGTTTGGAGGGGCCACCTCGGAACCCAATGCAAATGTGACAGAAGCAGTTCAGGTAACCCTCTACTAAATTACCATCCTAATGTAACATGCTCCAGAGTTCCTCCTTAAAACTAGTTCATGGCTGTCTAACTCTCTCTGCCTCTCCCCTATTGTCTCTGTATCCAGGATGAAGAAGAGGTTCATCCGGAGGCTGGGAAGGAGCAGGAGGAGCAGGGCCAGAAGGAGGAGGCTGCTCCCCAGGAAGAGAAGCAGGAGCCTGGGGAGAAACAGCAGGAGGAGGAGGCCCCAACCCAGGAGAACACTGAGGGAGTGGACAGCAAGGCTGACCCTCAGGTAAGAGCTTGGCTCAGTTGGATTCCACATAAATGCCTGGGACGTAGCTGGGCCTAGTTCCACATTGTGGAATGTTCAGATGGAAATATGTAGAACAAAAATTCCTCTGGCATGTAGAATAAGGAATCTGGACAGCTCTATTCATGACATTTCTATCTGCAACATTCCACAATATTTGCCTTCTGAACATGGCCCTGGTTTGTTTAGCGCAGACTTGGGGTGTATTCAGTGCTGTTGTGTTTAATGAACGTTCCAAAATGTTAAGTGTTGAATGGAACATTTGGTTACAGAATGTTGTCAGTAAAGCAGATATGAGTGGTGTGTGTGTATACTAACCTCACATTAATTAGTTTTAGCTCATTCTCTGTTTGAATTGGACATTAAATAACTGTCATTTCCAGGTCGCAGTTGTAAATGAGAACTTGTTCTCAACTGGCTTACCTGGTTAAATAAAGGTTAAAAATAAACGATGTAAATGAGGCTCTCTTGAATAAACAAGTTTCCATGAACTATTAAAAAATGATCTTTCTCCGAGCAGGATGAAAAGGAGGGAGCCAAATCCGGAGAAGAGGAGAAAACGACAGAGGAAGCAGCAGAGGAAGCGGCAAAGACTGAGGCAGAGGAGAAAGCCAAGCCTCAGAAGAAAACCAAGATCTCTGAGGACGTCGCAGTGGAGCTCCAAGTGAACGACATCCTTAACCCTAGCTTGGAAGCCATCACCTCCTCAAACAAGAAGTATGTCGCTCTATCTTTCCTTCTGACATTTTAGACGGGTTCAAATGTGCAGGGTGGGGTAGCTGAAATGATTTTTCAAGCTATAATAATGATGATATTGATGTAGCATCGTGACTTGTCAAACACCTAGCGACTTCAGAGGTTTTGAATCTCGGTGTAATGGCTAAGTTGTTTGACAGACGCGTAGACCCAGGTTTGAATCCCGGCAACCTCCAAATTCGCTGCAATAATAATGTTTTTGTTTTCTTCCTTTCAGGCTCCAAGACCTAACTGATCGAGACCTGGAGAAACAGGAGAGGGAGAAGACCCTAAACAGTCTTGAGGCATTCATTTTTGAGACCCAGGTTAGAACAGCACCCTTACAGTACAACACCAGTATATTCTCTGTCTGGCTCTCTCGCTCTGGCTCTCTCTTTCTCTCACACAGGTTTATAAAGCCTACCCCCCCCCCCCCCCCCCCTTATTCTCTCCCCCTCCCCTTATTATCTCCCCCCTCCATTAGGACAAGATGTACCAGGAGGAGTACCAGGCGGTGGTGTCGGAGGAAGAGAAAGAAGCCATCACAGCCAAGCTGAGTGAGGCGTCGGCCTGGATGGACGAGGATGGCTACACTGCGGCCACCAAGGAGTTGCGGGAGAAGCTGCAGGAGCTCCGGAAGCTGTGCAAGGCCATGTTCTTCCGTGTGGAGGAGCGCAGGAAGTTGCCTGACCACCTGGCCGCCCTGGAGAGCATGCTCAACCACTCCAGCTTCTTCCTCAGGTGGGTCACAGCAGCTCCCTTAGAGATCTAGGATCGGCTTCCCCAATCATAACCTTAACAATTAGTGGTGACAATGGAAAAACTGACCAAAGATCTATTATTTATTTACCCTTATTTTTACCAGGTTAGTTGCCTGAGAACATATTCTCTTTTACAGCATGACCTGGGGAAGAGTTACAGGGGGGAGGAGAGGGGATGAATGAGCCAATTGGAAGCTGGGGATGATTAGGTGGCCATAATGGTATGAGGGCCAGATTGGGAATTTGGGATCTCCTTCCTTAGACCAGAGGGAAGAGTGCCCCCTACTGGCCCTCTAACACCACTTTCGGCAGCATCTGGTTTCCCATCCAGCGACCGACCAGGACTGACCCTGCTTAGCTTCAGAGTTTAACAAATGCATCCATTTGACATGGGTCTTCTGTGGTTTTTCCTTAAGGAGCGCCAAACTCATACCAGAAGACGACCAAATCTTCACTGACGTGGAGCTGAAGACATTGGAAAAAGTCATCAACGAGACCACTGTATGTAGTTATGTTTCGTAAACTCCTATTTGTTTTAGTCATCGCATTTGTCAATGATATTATTTTGATCTACCATTATTACCTCAGGAATTTGGAATTACACCATTTTTAGATGACATTGTTCAAAACAATCTATATGGAAGTGTTTCACTTTGAGTGCCCTCGTTGTCCATCGTTTGTCGTCAATGTGGACCAAAGAAAAATCATAACCTTTTATCATTTTTTGTTTTATTTTAACCGCCAACACCTCACCCGCCTCTCCTCCACAGACGTGGAAGAACACCACAGTAGCTGAGCAGGAGAAACGTTCTCCCACGGAGCGGCCCTTGCTGCTGTCCAAAGACATCGAGTCCAAGCTGTCTTTGCTGGACCGCGAGGTCAACTACTTGCTGAACAAGGCCAAGTTTGCCAAGCCCAAGGCCAAGCCCAAGGCCAAGAACAACAGTACCACCTCAGAGAGCAGCAGCAAGGCCAACAGCAGCAACACAGAGGAGAAAGTCATACTTCCCAAGGAGGAGACCAAAGACGAAGGTGGGAGAGAGGGGGGAAAACCAACACATTTCTGTTATGGTACATGTGCTTCATATAAAGGGGTCATGTTCAGTAGGGCACACAGTAGCAAAACATTTTAAAACTAATTTAAGTGTATGGACTGTTTATTGGACATATCCAGGTAGTCCCTCCCTGTTTTAGTAAATGTTCTTCCGTTTGTTACGTAATGAAGGGGGTTCCTCAGCAATGATGATCTGTAATGAATGTGTCATTGGCAAAGGAAGTGCTTTTGCAGACTAGTTCACATGACGTGTGATATCTTGTCAATGATCCCTTTTAGACAACAATGTAATCACAGTCCCCTCTTTTCATTGGTGGCATTTGTTTTCATTCAACAGAAGGCACTGAGGAGGTGCAGCCAGAGGAACCTCCCATCAAAGAGCCCACTGGACATAACACTGACTCACCCAGCCAATCACAGCCTACAGATAAAACTGCAAGTGCAGGTACGTCTGTCATAGCAAGAGCGTCTGCCATGGCAACTACCTTTTTGCGTGTGCAAATTGGTACCCAGTTGCCTTACAATTTCTCGCTACATAAGTGGGCATCTGACGGAAAGGAATAGAATTGGGCATTCCATTCAAGGTGGAGCAACTGTCTGCATCTATGAAAAGGAAGTGCTTTGTTCAGTCTTTTCCTTTTGTCTTTATTTTGGTTTTATACCAAGTCATATTTGTAATACTGTGCTGCTATATATATATTTGAGTATAATATTGTATTCCTCCTCCCAATTTTCAGAACCAACAGAGAAAAACCAGTCAGAAAACCACATAGGGGATGAGTTATAACAGCTGGAACTGAAGAGATCTCATTTGTATTTATTGACAATGTTTAATTGTTCACGTTCCCACAATTTATTTATTTATATAAATATAAAAAAAACTATTTTGTTGCTTTGGTTTTGTTTTTCCAGCCTTTTTTATTTTGAAAACCGGAAAGTCATTGGATCAGCTCAGACACCTTGAACTGTCTTATTCCCTCCTCCCCCTCCTTTCTCACTTTCTGTTCATCTTCATCCCCCTTGGCCGCCATACATCTTTGGAGACCAAAGACAAAGGTGGGAGAGAGGGGGAAAAACGCAACACATTTCTGGCCATGTCTAGACTTGACAGTTCATGCATCTTTAGTATTCTGATCATAGAGTTCTGATCATGGAATTCCGAACGCGTCATACGTCTACACATACATTTTAAATGTGTCCACAGTGTGTCCGGATTCCCTGTTTCCGCATTATATTCAAATGCCAGTATGCATTCTACAAACGGTGGAATAGGCTAAATATGATAACACAACAACTGATGGCAGTACCTAACTACTATAGCTAACTAGCCAGCAAGCTACCAAGCCACGCTAAAAGGATTTCAAAACGGGTTAGCATAACTCTAGCTAAACAAAAAATAGTTGTTCTAAATATTAGCTAGCTGGCTAGCATTTGAGGCCAGCGAAGAAGTTCTTCACACGCTAGGAACTTATTTCCTTCGTTATAATGAAAAGTGCCCCTCGGTCCCAAAACAAGTTTTCTGGAGACTTGTGGGAGGAGTGCTGATGACGTCGCCCACTATATGTGCTTTAGGTAGGTAGCCTGATTTGAGTCCAGACTGAGGAGAAATCCGCAAACGATGCAAATCTGACCACCACCTGAAGTGGTCAGCCAGATCTGAACACAATCAGACCACAAAGCGACTTTTGTGCATCTAAACCCAACTTTTCAATGTGATCTTCGTATACTGATAAAGTCGCATGTAAGTGTAGAAACGCCAAAGTTATGGTACATGTGATATATATATATTTTCACTCACTCACTACCAGTCAAAAGTTTTAGAACACCTACTCATTCAAGGGTTTTTCTTTTATTTTGACTTTTCTACATTGTAGAATAATAGTGAAGATATAAACTATTAAATAACACATATGGAATCACGTAGTAACCAAAAATGTGTTAAACATAAAAAATATTTTGATTTATTTGAGATTCTTCAAATAGCTACCCTTTGCCTTGATGACAGCTTTGCACACTCTTGGCATTCTCTTAACCAGCTTCACCTGGAATTATTTTCCAACGGTCTTGAAGGAGTTCCCACATATGCTGAGCACTAGTTGGCTGCTTTTACTTCACTCTGCGGTCCGACTCATCCCAAACCATCTCAATTGGGTTGAGGTCGGGGGATTGTGGAGGCCAGGTCATCTGATGCAGCACTCCATCACACTCCTTCTTGGTAAAATAGCCCTTACACAGCCTGGAGTTGTGTTGGATCATTGTCCTGTTGAAAAACAAATGATAGTCCCATTAAGCCCAAACCAGATGGGATGGCGTATCGCTGAAGAATGCTGTGGTAGCCATGCTGGTTAAGTGTGCCTTGAATTCTAAATAAATCACAGACCGTGTCACCAACAAAGCACCCCCACACCATAACACCACCTCCATGCTTCACGGTGGGAACCACACATGCGGAGATCATCCGTTCACCTACTCTGCGTCTTACAAAGACGCAGCGGTTGGAACCAAAAATCTCAAATTTGGACTCTAGACCAAAGGACACATTTCCACTGGTCTAATGTATGAAAATGTATGCACTCACTAACTGTAAGTCGCTCTGGATAAGAGCGTCTGATAAATCACTTAAATGTAATGTCCATTGCTCGTGTTTCTTGGCCCAAGCAAAGTCTCTTCTTCTTATCGGTGTCCTTTTGTAGTGGTTTCTTTGCAGCAATTCGACCATGAAGGCCTGATTCACACAGTCTCCTCTGAACAGTTGATGTTGAGATGTGTCTGTTACTTGAACTCTGTGAAGCATTTATTTGGGCTGCAATTTCTGAGGCTGATAACTCTAATTAACTTATCCTCTGCAGCAGAGGTAACTCTGGGTCTTCCTTTCCTGTGGGGGTCCTCATGAGAGCCAGTTTCATCATAGTGCTTTATGGTTTTTGCGACTGCACTTGAAGAAATGTTCAAAGTTCTTAATTTTCCAGATTGACTGACCTTCATGTCTTAAAGTAATGATGGACTGTCGTTTCTCTTTGCTTATTTGAGCTGTTCTTGCCATAATATGGACTCTGCCACTCAAGGACATTCAGAGACTTGTCCCGAAGCCACTCCTGTGTTGTCTTGGCTGTGTGCTTAGGGTCGTTGTCCTGTTGGAAGATGAACCTTCACCCCAGTCTGAGGTCCTGAGCACTCTGGAGCAGGTCTTCATCAAGGATCTTTCTGTACTTTACTCCGTTCATATTTCCCTCTATCCTGACTAGTCTCCCATCCCTGCTTCTGAAAAACATCCCCACAGCATGATGCTGCCACCCATGCTTCACCGTAGGGATGGTGCCAGGTTTCCTCCAGATGTGATGCTTGGCATTCAGGCCAAAGAGTTCAGTCTTGGTTTTATCAGACCAGAGAATCTTGTTTCTCATGGTCAGAGTCCTTTTTAGGTGCCTTTTGGCAAACTCCAAGCGGGCTGTCGTGTGCCTTTTTACTGAGGAGTGATTTCCGTCTGCACCTGAGCTCAATTTTGAGTCTCATAGCAAAGGGTCTGAATACTTATGTTAATAAGGTATTTCTGTTTGTTATTTGTAATACATTTGCAAAAATGTCTAAACCTGTTTTCGCTTTGTCATTATGGGGTATTGTGTGTAGATCGATGGGGAAAATAATTTAATTCATTGTAAGGGAAGTCTAATGTGGATATAGGGAAGAGGTCTGAATACTTTCCGTGTGTGTGTGTGTGGTCATGTTCAATAAGGCACACCGTAGCAAAATGTTATGGAGCGTTTTATTGGACAAATCCAGGTAGTCCCGCCCTGTTTGTAAAAGTTATTCCGTTTGGTACGTAATGAAGGGGGTTCCTCAGCAATGATGTTCGTCTGTAATGAATGTGTAATTTGCAAAGGAAGTGTTTTTGCAGACTTGTTCACATGACGTGTGATGATTTTGTCAATAATCCCTTTTAGACACACATTTTTATCATCAATCACAGTCCCCTCTTTTCATTGGTGGCATTTGTTTTCATTCAACAGAAGGCACTGAGGAGGTGCAGCCAGAGGAACCTCCCATCAAAGAGCCCACTGGACATAACACTGACTCACCCAGCCAATCACAGCCTACAGATAAAACTGCAAGTGCAGGTACGTCTGTCATAGCAAGAGCGTCTGCCATGGCAACTACCTTTTTGCGTGTGCAAATTGGTACCCAGTTGCCTTACAATTTATCGCTACATAAGTGGGCATCTGACGGAAAGGAATATAATTGGGCATTCCATTCAAGGTGGAGCAACTGTCTGCATCTATGAAAAGGAAGTGCTTTGTTCAGTCTTTTCCTTTTGTCTTTAATTTGGTTTTATACCAAGTCATATGTAATACTGTGCTGCTATATATACAGTGAGGGGAAAAAAGCATTTGATCCCCTGCTGATTTTGTACTTTTGCCCACTGACAAAGACATGATCAGTCTATAATTTTAATGTTCCGTTTATTTGAACAGTGAGAGACAGAATAACAACAAAAAAATCCAGAAAAACGCATGTAAAAAAAATTATTATAAATTGATTTGCATTTTAACTCTTCCGAGTCGGCGAACGCTTCGGCGCGTTCAAATCGCGGGCCGGCTTTAGGACCGCGCAGCATCCAAACCAAGTGACGCAGAGGGCTGCCGTCGATTTCATGCAGAAATGGAGACCCGAAGCTACGTTTTGAGTGTTTGTTTCATGTAAATACACCAACTAAAACCAAAGTTATGATAATTTCAATTCCATGAAAAAAGTGCGTCAAAATATGCGCTCTTTTATGAGCGCTTTGCATTTATTATAATAACTTTGTCGTCTTTTGTGATAAAAAGGAACGGAAAAAAAACGTGTGCTTGTGCTAACCCGGTTCTTCAGGATGCACACGAGTATATAAACATTCATTCCCATGACAACTAGCCATTGCGAAAGAACGAACGAGAGGAATTAGTTCAGTTCATGAGTAGTTTTGGAGAGTTTTTTCACGAGTTAGTATTTCAATTGTTAGTATTTCAAGAGTTTTATTGTCAGCAGTATCGTTTTTGTGAAGCAATATGAGGCGCACACTTCACGTTGAACAAGCCGTCGACTTGTTATTCCAAATGAGCGATGAAGAAACTTTGGAAAGTTCGTCGTCAGACAATGAGAGTGGCCAGGATGACTTCGAGGACCCTGATTTTGTTGCTGAAAACGTGAGGTAAGAAGACAAACATTTTTCTAAAATGAATTTGTTTTATTGCTTTCGTTTATCTTACTATAGTATTCTATTCTACTTCACTGTAGTGCAAATGCCAATGAACATCTTGAACTTTGAATAATCTTGAATCCGTTTACCTGTTTTGTATAGTGACGACGACGACGACGAGCAGCCTGGGCCATCAACAGCCCCCACCCCCACAACAAGCCGACGGAGGCCATCACAGAGGGGGCGTGGAAGGAAGGATCAGGCCAAGACCAGGTCAAGATCTCCAGCCCAGTCAGCAGCACAGCCAGAACAGAGCTCTGAGCCATGGAAAACAGAGACTGATCCTGACACTGCCCCACAAGCCAGTAGGTTCATGCCCCGCAGACCACCAGGAGCCCAGGTGGATTTGCATTCAGGGCACACACCAAAGGACCTCTTCCTGCTCTACTTCGCCGCAGATACAATGAGGACAATCTGCAGAAACACCAACAAACAGGCAGCAAGAAATCAGCAGAAGGGGAGCAAATATCAGTGGACTGACGTTGATGTGGAGGAACTGCACAGATTTCTGGGTCTCCTCATCTACACCTCATTGGTGACTCTGCCTAGTATCCAGGACTACTGGAAACAAAGCCACATATTGTCTGTTTCATTGCCAGCGAAGGTCATGCCAAGAGACATATTCCGGTCCATCTCATGGAACATCCACCTAAGTGATCCAGAGGAGGATGTCATAAATGACCAGCGCAAAGGTACACCCCAGCATGACAAACTGTTCAGGGTCAAACCTCTGATGGACGACATTCGCACTGCCTGCCAGGCTCATTACCATCCTAAGAAGGAACTGTCAGTCGACGAGAGGATGGTGGCTACAAAAGCCAAAACTGGCATGACCCAGTACATGAAGGACAAGCCTAACAAATGGGGGATCAAGCTCTTTGTGTTGGCAGAGTCTAACAATGGCTACACTCTAAACTTCAACGTGTATGTTGGGAAAGCACACACACCCAGCGTGCATGGACTTTCATATGATGCTGTTATGGACCTCATTCAGCCATCACATCTTGGTACAGGATACCATATTTATATGGACAATTTCTACACCAGCCCAAAACTGTTCCTGAGTTTGGGAAGTATGAAGTTTGGAGCCTGTGGGACCTACAGAAGCAACAGAAAAGGGTGTCCTAGTGGCAGAGAAAATGCCCTCACCAGCAAATCGAAGAGGGGGTCTGTGAGATGGATCAGAGAGGATCGCCTGGTCTTTGTGAAGTGGATGGATACGCGGGAGGTGTCGGTGTGCTCCACAATCCACCCAGCGTTTTCGGGCGAGACAATCAAGAGGAAGGTGAAGGAAGGACCTGGACGCTGGGTAGCAAAAGACATTCCCTGCCCTACCCCCATCATGGCCTACAATAAGTACATGGGAGGGGTTGACCTGTCAGACCAGCTTCTCCAGTATTACTCAACCCATCGCAGAACTGCTCGCTGGTACCGTACCCTCTTCCTGCATTTTTTGGACATGGGAACAACAAATGCATACATCCTGCACTGTGACATCAGTGCGACCCAACAGGTCACACCCATGACGCACAAGAACTTTGTGGCAGAACTTGTGGCCCAGCTGTGCGGAGTGACCCAGACAGGGGTTCCACTTCAAAAAAGCACCAGCCATGTTCCTGTGGCCATTGCCAATGTTGCAGAGGCCAAAGACAAAGCCACAGCAGGCCGCAGGGTTTGTCAACGCTGTAAACAAGTTGACAAGAAGAGGTTTGTCACACCATGGAAGTGCAAGGCCTGTGATGTGGCTCTCTGTGTCATTGTGGACAGGAACTGTTTTGAAGAGTGGCACAAATAGGGTAAAGGCCAGTGGCTATACCTACTTTTTTTGTAAATAGTTGTGTATTGCTTGTATATATCTCAAGAATACTTTTATATGTTCATATTTGCACTTTGTGGTTCAATTTGAAGCTTTTTTTTTCATTTTGGACAGAAAACTGTTTTGAGGAGTGGCACAAAAAGGTTTAGGGTTAGAATAGAAGAAAAACGCCAGTGGTTATACCTACTTTTTATTGTAAATAGTTATTTTATTGCTTGTATATATCACCAAAATACTTTTATATGTTCATATTTGCACTTGTGGTTCAATTTGAAGCTTTTTAAATGCTTGGTTCACCATGTTTGAGGGTTTTACAATAAAAAAACCATCTTTTTTCTAAACGGACTTTGTGTTTTCTGTGTGTGTTTGGGTCCAGTGTGTTGAAATAGTATGTCAAAGTGAAAAACTTACTAACAGATCATATAGGTGAGGTTGTGCTGAAAAAAAAGATACCCAACATTGGTCTGGTAAACATTTCTTTATGTAGTATATCAGGGCAAAATTGAAGGTACCCAAAAACGGCCAAAAAAGCTCCAGACTCCGAAGAGTTAATGAGGGAAATAAGTATTTGACCCCTCTGCAAAACATGACTTAGTACTTTGTGGCAAAACCCTTGTAGGCAATCACAGAGGTCAGACGTTTCTTGTAGTTGGCCACCTGGTTTGCACACATCTCAGGAGGGATTTTGCCCCACTCCTCTTTGCAGATCTTCTCCAAGTCATTAAGGTTTCGAGGCTGACGTTTGGCAACTCGAACCTTCAGCTCCCTCCACATATTTTCTATGGGATTAAGGTCTGGAGACTGGCTAGGCCACTCCAGGACCTTAATGTGCTTCTTCTTGAGCCACTCCTTTGTTGACTTGGCCGTGTGTTTTGGGTCATTGTCATGCTGAAATACCCATCCACGACCCATTTTCAATGCCCTGGCTGAGGGAAGGAGGTTCTCACCCAAGATTTGACGGTACATGGCCCCGTCCATCGTCCCTTTGACGCGGTGAAGTTGTCCTGTCCCCTTAGCAGAAAAACACCCCCAAAGCATAATGTTTCCACCTCCATGTTTGACGGTGGGGATGGTGTTCTTGGGGTCATAGGCAGCATTCCTCCTCCTCCAAACACGGCGAATTGAGTTGATGCCAAAGAGATCGATTTTGGTCTCATCTGACCACAACACTTTCACCCAGTTCTCCTCTGAATCATTCAGATGTTCATTGGCAAACCTCAGACGGGCCTGTATATGTGCTTTCTTGAGCAGGGGGACCTTGCGGGCGCTGCAGGATTTCAGTCCTTCACGGCGTAGTGTGTTACCAATTGTTTTCTTGGTGACTATGGTCCCAGCTGCCTTGAGATCATTGACAAGATCCTCCCGTGTAGTTCTGGGCTGATTCCTCACCGTTCTCATGATCATTGCAACTCCACGAGGTGAGATCTTAAATGGAGCCCCAGGCCGAGGGAGATTGACAGTTATTTTGTGTTTCTTCCATTTGCGAATAATCGCACCAACTGTTGTCACCTTCTCACCAAGCTGCTTGGCGATGGTCTTGTAGCCCATTCCAGCCTTGTGTAGGTCTACAATCTTGTCCCTGACATCCTTGGAGAGCTCTTTGGTCTTGGCCATGGTGGAGAGTTTGGAATCTGATTGATTGATTGCTTCTGTGGACAGGTGTCTTTTTATACAGGTAACAAGCTGAGATTAGGAGCACTCCCTTTAAGAGTGGGCTCCTAATCTCAGCTCGTTACCTGTATAAAAGACACCTGGGAGCCAGAAATCTTTCTGATTGAGAGGGGGTCAAATACTTATTTCCCTCATTAAAGTGCAAATCAATTTATAACATTTTTGACATGCGTTTCTCTGGATTTTTTTGTTATTTTGTCGCTCACTGTTCAAATAAACCTACCATTAAAATTATAGACTGATCATTTCTTTGTCAGTGGGCAAACGTACAAAATCAGCAGGGGATCAAATACTTTTTTCCCTCACTGTATTTGAGTATAATATTGTATTCCTCCTCCCAATTTTCAGAACCAACAGAGAAAAACCAGTCAGAAAACCACATAGGGGATGAGTTATAACAGCTGGAACTGAAGAGATCTCATTTGTATTTATTGACAATGTTTAACCGGAAAGTCATTGGATCAGCTCAGACACCCTGAACTATCTTATTCCCCCTCTCACTTTCTGTTCATCTTCATCCTTCTCGGCCGCCAAACATCTTTCCCCCTCTTACTTTTACATGGTGAGCAAGGAGCACTTACGAAGCCTGGAATATCCATCGAATGAACTGACCACAAGACTTCAAGTTTGTATTCTACTATCGTGCCCTAAAGGTTTAGGTATACTTTCCTACATGTAAACAACTTTATTTTGACAACTGTATGATTGCCCTGCATAGAACAGAACAAGTACCTGATACAAAATGTTTAGTTTTGGTAGGACTAATTATAACAGGACTCAATGTTTCCACCACAGCACCACTGTCAAAAATTGCATCGTTCATGGCATTCTGTGATCAGTAAGGGTTGTTGTGATTTGTCCTCTCAAGCACAGTTATCCTCATCTCTTCTGTTTTCTCTACGCAAATCTTGCTTTCATTCATTTTTTTGTGTGTGTGTGTGTGTGTGTGTGTGTGTGTGTGTGTGTGTGGAAAGATATCGAAGGGGCTGGAGCTAATGGATGCTCCTCTTGGGAAATGGAATGGGTTTTAGTTGTCTTTGAATATTGAATTCCTCGGTTTAATGCCTTGTATTGTGGCTGATTTAAAATGCATAAACAATCCGTGATGTGTGTATACAATATGCCACAAAGGCGCAATTATTTGTCATCCAAATATTATAATATTGACGACCAGTCGTTAAATGTGTTCATAGGCGTAAAATCCATATTTTATGCTTTTCAGAACCCTCTCTCCATGGTCTTAATATTTCTGACAATTAATCAATTAATTAGCATGAGGGAAACATATATTTTTCAATGAAAGTACATCTATCTTCATATGCAATACTTACTTGCAGTTTCTCTATAGATTGTACTCAATACAGATAGTTCAGTAAACTTACTTCAATCACCAAGGTGCAATTTTGGGGCTGCCATGGGTTGTGTTCAGTAGGTGAAAAAAAATTATAAAAAAAATTGGTGTGGTGTGAAATGGATGTGTATGGATGCCAGTATGAATTTTAAGGACTGCTCAACTGTGTTGCACTGACTGAAGAATAAGCAGATAATATTATCCACGTCTCAAGATGCTTGAATCTAGCAGAGGAGTGTGTGGTTCCTGTTCTTTGCATCACCTCAGATGGTGCGTGAGGGGGGGGGGGAAATAAACTAAATAAAACGGGATTGGGAGATGCCAACAATGTTTTGTTTCGAAACTGTTAATAAAAGTTTTTTTTTTTTTTTTTTTTATGACTGGGTGATGAACAGTGGAATGTGTGTTCTTTTTCCCCTCAATCTGTCTTTAAAAATAAGAGGAGGTGGGTCTTCAAATACACATTTTCAAAGGTACCATTGTAACTCTGGGCTAGGGTCGATTCTGTAAATCAAATAATCAAAGTAATGGTTTCTCTCCATTTCATTGCGTTTCAATTCCAGAATGGTCTGTGTGAATGTGTAATTGACCCCAATTTGAAGACCAGCAGGACAGATTATGAAGAAAGATTTGACCATAATTGGAAACAAAATGGGTAATTTATTATATTTTACTTGTATAAAGGGTATGTCAAGTGTTTATAATGAGTATGGTTTTATACACCGATATTTGTAAAGACTGGGACATTTTAAGAAAAAGAACTGGATAGCAAATATAACATTTAAAATATGATTTGATGGACAACATTGAAAAGGAGCCCTTGAAACCCTAATACACCAAAATATGTAGTCATTTTTTATTGTGACATATTATGATTATACTAGATATTATATAGCATCCATTTGTACTTGTCCATGTCCCTAAACAAAGAAGATAACCCTTAATTCCAAAAACCAATACCAGACCTTCAATGCCTTAATTGAAATAAACGATTTAAACATGCAGTGCTATATGTGTAGGTTACACAGATATATTCATATGGATAAGTGCTTTTATTTCAGCCTGAAATTTGCTAGTCATCTTTGGACTAAAAACCTTCCTGCCTCCTCACTGGCTAGTAGCCTAGACATGTTTAGACCAGCCAGCCATGCCCATGTGCCATTTCCTTGAATAAACTGTGTGGATGAAAAAATATGGTCAACTGGTACGCTAATTAAGTTATTGCGTCATTGCACTGACCCACCTAGTCCTTTAGGTCAGTGAGCATAAACCACCTTAAGAGTATCCTCCAACAACTGTCACTCTTGTGTAGAGTAGAGCGTTGTCTTCTCCGCGGCCCCAATGGTCCTTGGCACAACGATCCAGTACGCCATAAAGGCTACCATAGAGATACAGAGTGCACCAACAACCCCTGCTGCTATGGCAACCCCCTGCACAGATTGATGTTTTTCCCCGACTGCTCAGCAACTGCCAAGAGAAGGACACAGGTTCGGAGAAAAGACTTCACAAAGATAGTTTTTAGACAAAACTTTAGTAAAATTATATCCTTTGAAATTAAAATATGAAGTACTCAATATAGGGAAAAGGTTGCGGTGTCTATATATGTATACATTACCTTCAGAAAGGATTCATACCCCTTGACTTAATCCACATTTTGTGTTACAGCCTGAATTAAAAATGGATTGCTTTTCTCACCTATCTACACACAATACCCCATAATGACAAAGTGAAAACATGTTTTTAGAAATGTTTGCAAATGTATTGAAATTGAAATACAGAACGATCTCATTTACGTAAATATTCACACCAATTTGCTATGACACTCCAAATTGAGCTCAGGTGCATCCAATTCCTTTGATCATCCTTGAGTTATGGCTACAACTGTGGCCAATTCAATTGTTTGGACATGATTTAGAAAGAAACACACCTGTCTATATAAGGTCCAACAGTTGACAGTGCAGAAACTACCGTGAAGTCCAAGGAACTGTCTGTAGATCTCCGAGATAGAATTGTGATGAGGCATATATCTGGGGAAGGGTATTAAACCAATTTCTAGAGTGTTGAACGTTTCCAAGAGCACAGTAGTCTCCATCATTGGGGAAATGGAAAAAAGATGGAACTACCCAGACTCTGCCTAGAGTTGGCTGTCTGACTAAACAGAGCAACCATGCAAGAAGGACCCAATGACATCTCTGACAGAACGAAAGAGTTCCTTGGCTGAGATGGGAGAACCAGAAGGACAACAATCTCTATAGCACTTCACCAATCTAGGCTTTATGGGAGAGTGGCCAGACGGAAGCCACTCCTGAGAAAATGACACATGCCAGCATGCCTGGAGTGTGCAAAAAGGCACATGAAAGACTGAGCATAAGGCAAAATATTATGTGGTCTGACAAATTGAACTCTTTGGCCTGAATGCAAAGTGCTATGTCTGGAGAGAACCAGGCACAGCTCATCACCCGTCTAACACCATTTCTACCGTGAAGCATGGTGGTGGCAGCATAATTCTATGGGGATGCTTTTCAGCAGTAGGGACTAGGAGACTGGTAAGGATAGAGGGAACAATGAATGGAGCCAAACACAGGCAGATCCTTGATGAGAACCTGCTTCAGAGTGCAAACGACCTTAGACTGGGGCAAAGATTTGCGTTCCAACCGGACAATGACCCCAAGCATACAGCCAAAGCAACACTGGAATGGCTTCAGAACAAAAATGTGAAAGTCCTTGACTTGAATCCCATTGAAAATCTGTGGAAAGACTTGAAGATTGCTGTTCACCGCCACTCCCTATCTAACATAACAGAGCTTGAGAAAATCTGCAAGGAAGAATGGGAGAAAATCCAGATGTGCAAAGCTGATACAGACATGCCCAAGACAACTCAAAGCTGTAATTGCTGCCAAAGGTGCTTATACAAAGTATTGACTCGGGTGAAAATACAGTTGAAGTCGGAAGTTTACATACACTTAGGTTGGAGTCATTAAAAGTCATTTTTCAACCACCCCACAAATTTCTTGTTAACAAACTATAGTTTTGGCAAGTCGGTAAGTACATCTACTTTGTGCATGACACAAGTAATTTTTCCAATAATTGTTTACAGACAGATTATTTCACTTATAATTCACTGTATCACAATTCCAGTGGGTCAGAAGTTTACATACACTAAAATGACGGTGCCTTTAAACAGCTTGGAAAATTCCAGAAAATGATGTCATGGCTTTAGAAGCTTCTGATAGGCTAATTGACATCATTTGAGTCAATTGGTGTCCCTGTGGATGTATTTCAAGGCCTACCTTCAAACTCAGTGCCTCTTTGCTTGACATCATGGGATAATCGCAAAAAATGTGCAAAGCCCTCAGAAAAAACATTGTAGACCTCCACAAGTCTGGTTCATCCTTGGGAGCAATTTCCAAATGCCTGAAGGTACCACATTCATCTGTACAAACAATGGTACGCAAGTATAAACACCATGGGACCACACAGCCGTCATACCGCTCAGGAAGGAGACGCGTTCTGTCTCCTAGAGATGAATGTACTTTGGTGCGAAAAGTGCAAATCAATCCCAGAACAACAGCAAAGGACCTTGTGAAGATGCTGGAGGAAACGGGTACAAAAGTATCTATATCCACAGTAAAACGAGTCCTATATCGACATAACCTGAAAGGCCGCTCAGCAAGGAAGAAGCCAATGCTCCAAAACCGCCATAAAAAATAATATATAATAATAATATATGCCATTTAGCAGACGCTTTTATCCAAAGCGACTTACAGTCATGCGTGCATACATCTTTTTTTTGTTGTGTATGGGTGGTCCCGGGGATCGAACCCACTACCTTGGCGTTACAAGCGCCGTGCTCTACCAGCTGAGCTACAGAGGACCACAGACTACGGTTTGCAACAGCACATAGGGACAAAGATCGTACTTTTTGGAGAAATGTCCTCTGGTCTGACAAAACAAAAATAGAACTGTTTGGCAATAATGACCATCGTTATGTTTGGAGGAAAAATGGGGTGGCTTGCAAGCCGAAGAACACCATCCCAACCGTGAAGCACGGAGATGGCAGCATCATGCTGTGGGGGTGCTTTGCTGCAGGAGGGACTGGTGCACTTCACAAAATAGATGGCATCATGAGGAAGGAAAATTATGTGGATATATTGAAGCAACATCTCAAGACATCAGTCAGGAAGTTAAAGCTTGGTCGCAAATGGGTCTTCCAAATGGACAATGACCCTAAGCATACTTCCAAAGTTGTGGCAAAATGGCTTAAGGACAACAAAGTCAAGGTATTGGAGTGGCTATCACAAAGCCCTGACCTCAATCCTATAGAAAATGTGTGGGCAGAACTGAAAAAGCGTGCATGAGCAAGGAGGCCTACAAACCCGACTCAGTTACACCAGCTCTGTCAGGAGGAACGGGCCAAAATTCACTCAATTTATTGTGGGAAGCTTGTGGAAGGCTACCTGAAACATTTGAGCCAAGTTAAACAATTTAAAGGCAATGCTACTAAATACTAATTGAGTGTATGTAAACTTCTGACCCACTTTGGAATGTGATGCAAGAAATAAATGCTGAAATAAATAATTCTCTCTACTATTATTCTGACATTTCACATTCTTAAAATAAAGTGGTGATCCTAACTGACCTAAGACAGGGAACTTCTGCTAGGGTTAAATGTCAGGAATTGTGAAAAACTGAGTTTAAATGTATTTAGCTAAGGTGTATGTAAACATCCGGCTTCAACTGTACGTATGTAAACGAGATATTTCTGTATTAAA